AAATGAGTACTTGTTTGAAACAAAAAAAAAAAATTGATGATTTACATTCTCCAAGGAATCCTGCTTTTAACTAATAAAAAAACGTTTTAATTTCTCAAAATTTCATGAGAGAGAGAGAGAGAGAGAGAGAGAGTGTGTGTGCGTGTGTGTGTGTGTGTGAAAAGGATTTAAAAATTTAATAAAATAATCAAAAAATACTTTGGTCTTTCCTCTTAGTAATAATATTTTGGTGATAAATATTTGTTTTTATTAAGTTTGGGGCATTTTTCATCATGGAGTCCTTTTTTTTTTTTTTTGAATGAAAAAGTGGAGGCACTTATTAAAAGGATTTATTTATTATGATTTTTGCTCTATACCAAAACTTATCTATTTTGCTTGGAGGGAGGGCACTTAAAAAAGAAGCCCCCCCCCAACCACCACCACCACAAAAAAAAAAAAAAAAAAAAAAAAAACTGACTTCAATGAATGACTCAGCATGGATGGAAATGCTGTAGTATATAATCAGCTGACTTAACCGCCTCATTCATTGGGACTAGCAAGAGCACAAATTAGTCAGTAAGAATATTTATGTTGTTTTAGTTTGGTGAGAAATAAGCAACTGAAAAAAACGTGATTATGTCAAAGATTAAAGACCCTCGCACCCCCACCCATCAAAAAAAGAGAACAGAGTTCAGTGTTTATTCTAAGAGTCAGCAGCACTTTAATTTTTTTGTTCTCTTTCGGTTAGGTACCGGCAATTTGTTTCGCTGTGACCACCCATGTAATACTATTTATCTCTCATTTTATCTAACCTATCTTTAATTGGAGCAATGTCTATTCAAAACCTTTTCTTTATTCCTTCTATATTTTTTTTCTGAAGAAATGATTGTTTCCATAAAACTATTCTTATCTATTAAGCAGTTAATTTTTTAACTCAGGACAATTGGACAATTTTTTTTTTATGATACTTGTACTTTAAAATAAGTATCTCTGCTGATTTGCCTAAAAATTTAGCACGCCATGATGAAAAAAATGCCCCAAACTTAATAAAAACAAAGTTTTATCATCAAAATCTTTGTTATTATCAAGAGGAAAGACCAAAGGATTTTTAATTGCTAAATTATATATTTTGATCCTGTTTTGAATGTTTAAAATTTTGATTAAAAATCTTTTTCTTTAAGCCTGCACAGTGGCCAAAGATTAGTATAAGAAATTTCTTGCAAAAATCAAATAATTGTCAAATTTTAATGAAATTTTCAAGATTTGTTCACAAATGAAATTATTTTAGAAATGTTTCTTTTTAGAAAGTCTTGTTAAAAATATATATTTTTCTTTTTACATCTGTTGACCACTGTCACTTATTTTATTTTATGAAATTTCAAGAAATTAATTTTTGTAACATTTAATTTTTAAATTATTTAAAAGCAGAACTTGGAAAATTTAAATCCTCATTTTCTTTGGTAAAACACAAGTTACCAATAATCTGCTCTACATCGTAAAATAAAAAATGCCATAATACTAAGACATTATTTTAAAAGCTTTTAGTTGCTTATATGAATAAGATATATTATGGATACTATTCTCTTAAGAACTTTTTTTTTGATGAGTAATGAATTTTTGCAAGAATTTATTGCATTTTTAAATTTGAATTATAATTTATAAAGTTTTAAATCTTTTAAAATTCTGTCTTACTTTGTATAGATTAGATGTTATTGTTATTAAGTAAAAACTATATTTACTAATCATAAATGGAAAAGCTTACTAAAATTCAATGACCCCCAATATTTTCAGAAAAGTTTTGAAATTTGTTTTGGGTGCATAAATATGCCGATTTGTGTAAATACAGATGTCTATACACAATATCAGAAAATAAGAGCGATAACTATAGTAAATTTAAAGTATTTAAAATTCAATAAAACATTAGATTATTGAAAATATTTTACTAAATTTTTAAAATTACTGAGTAGTTAAAAATTATATAAAAAAGGCACTCACTTTATATTCTTCAAGTACATTTTACAGATATGTTCACCATAGAAAGAGAATTACATTTTGAGGATGGTGCTAAAATCAGCAATTGTTAGCAAATTCAAAATGAAAACTCTTTCCAGCCAATTTAAATTAGTTTTGAAATACAGCATATACTTGTTGGAAATTTAATCTATTAGTTTGAAATTTAAATTCATTAATATTTAAAATTCATTTCAAACCTTAGGTATTGAGAATCTGTAGAGGTACCTACTTTAAGACAACTGTCTTAGTGTGGCAGAGAGCAATGGTCACCTTTGAAATATTAATAATTATAGTAATATGGAATTTTGTTTATAGATGAGAAAAATAATCACTGGTGAAGTTTGTGCCTAGAGAACCTGTGCTTCGTCAGAATTATTAATATAAAATGTCAAAACAATAGTGTTTATATGAACTATGGAATACCAATTGAGAAGAAGAGACTGTTCATTTAATCATGAAGTGGCAGAGGTCAGTAATCAGGTTGTATTCTAAATTTACCAACACCCTGGGCTTTTGTTGCTACCACCACGTTTATTTCAGCATATGTTTGTGTGAAAACAAAGTTGATTGGAGCTGGGTGAAGTGAGTTGACAAGCAGTTGACCAGAGAGAGAGAAATAGGCAGTGAGAGTGAAAGCGTCCGCTTGCTGCTGTAATAAGAGAGGAAGTGAACTCAAGTTATCTGCAATATTGGCGCAATACTGTCAGTGAACCCCCTCATATCCTGGTAGCGAAATAATTATGGCCTCTACTAAGAATAAAAAGGGTGAACCTGAAAGCAACTTCTCTCCTTTCAGAATTAATTTGCAATATTTTTTTTTTTTTTTTATGGATTTTATTTCATATACACTTCTTTCTTGTAAAAGAAGCATTATTCTTTTTGTACCAATTTCTTCCTTATATACATATACATAAATTTTTCTTTGGACTTGAATTGACTTGTTCAATATTTGATTTTTAAGCTTGGCCCAATTCTCACCCCCAACGAACTTGCAGATAGACCAGCTGAATCTTCCAAGATCTACAGTTTGTTAATGGCTCTCTAGGATCCAAAAAATCACAATGTGGCTGGAAAGTGGAATCAAACTGACATTGCGAACCAGAGACTTTGATTGAACCTGTAATACTGGGTCAGGACAGGACCAACGACCGGTCTTGTAGAGTACATTGATCTAGTGGGGTCAGGATACATTGGCACAGTTAAGCCATACCATGTGATAATATGGATCTTTCATATTAAATCCATAAAGGTGATTGATGGAAGGCTTTCCACTTAAGACAGGCACCACTCACAGTAACTGAGGATGAATTGGCATGAATTATGAATTGTGCACATAGTAGAAGATAAACTTAAAAAATATACTAGTGAAAGGTATTAAATTTTTTTTTAACCATTTCACTCTAAGCAAGGCAATACAGCCACTAAGACACAAGGGGTTACTGAGTGTAAAAGAATATGAGAAAGAGAAAAAAAAAACATTATTAAGGAGAAAGAACAATAAAAGAAGAGGAATTAAGAAGACAGAAGATAACGATTGATATTACATTTAAATTTTTGAAGATCAATGTTGACTGGGAAGCAAGAAGCCAGAAGAGACTTCCACAAGTGAGAAGTGCGAGAGAAGAAACTGTTAGCATAGAACTTACAGTTACATCTAGCCATTACAACTGTAAAAGGATGAGACCTAATTGTTGATTGAGTACTGCACTTAAATTTGTAAAGACAAGGTAACAAAGAGGAAAGACCATCAGATCGATTACCATGACAATATTTATAGAAAAGGCACAGGGAAGCTATGTTAAGGCAATGGGAAAATAGCTGAAGCTGCCAGGTCAGGACCAATAATATTGCAGATACTTTGTATTTTATCAAGAATCTCTAAATATATAGCAGAAGCACTAGATCATCTGTGGCAGCAATAATGTAAGCAGGGATGAATGGTAAATTTATGCGTTAGATTCTAGCAAGGAAAATTATAGACACAGTACGAGGCAGTGAACCAGTTTTCCTAGCAATTGATTCAATTACAATAAAATGAAGTAGTACCCGAAATTGCCTTGGTTTGAACTTGTATGATAAAGTGAAACAAGGACCACCCACTCCTCACCCACACTTGCTGCTGGAAAAATGACAATTGTGACAAGCCAAAAGGACCTAAGCTGGATTGAATATGGATAAAATTCAAAACCAGGAATTTATTTTGTAATTCCATTCTCTCTTTTAGCAATATTAGAAATTTACACCATACTAAACTATGTGTGACAAGTGGGTGAGATCATCAAAACCCTCTCCAAGTATGCATGTACATAATACAATTTGTAACTTATAATAAATAAACGGAGGGTAAATAATAAAAAAGCTGTTTAAATAAGGAAAATAGTCGTCTAAATAATAGGAGAGGGCAAATAATAAAAAAGCTGTTTAAATAATGAAAATAGTCGTCTAAATAATAGGAGAGGGCAAATAATAAAAAAGCTGTTTAAATAATGAAAATAATCGTCTAAATAATAGGAGAGAGCAAATAAGAAAAAAGCTGTTTAAATAATGAAAATAATCGTCTAAATAATAGGAGAGGGTAAATAATAAAAACGCTGTTTAAATAATGAAAATAGTGGTCTAAATAATAGGAGAGGGTAAATAATAAACAAAAGCATTCTAAATAATGAAAGTAGTGGCCTAAATAATAAAAACAGAAGAAAAAAATCATAAAAAACAATAGTCCAAAGTGAAGCAATTGCTTCCTGAAAGCATAAGAAACATTGCACTTAAATAATTAGCTAATCTGAACATGAAACCATCAAAGCAAACAAGCCAGCATGTTTCATTAATTCAGATTAGTTAGGAAACTTTTGTCGGAAAAAAAGACTTTTCAGAAGTGAAGAGAGTCATGCCCTCCACCGTCTCTGACAATTTAAGGATTTCCGTTTTACAATGGAAGGTAGGATAGAACTTAAAAACAAATATTCAGAAGTAGCAAATTTTGCAGACAAAATCAGAAAGCATCTTACCTTCACAGATTTGTATCTTTTAAGAGCTTTTTGGGCTAATTCTTCAGCTAGAAAAGAAAAGCATCAACAAAGAATATAATGATGTTACTAAAAACATTTTTAAAAAGCTATGCAAATTCTCAGTAAAGAAAGATTATATATTACACACACATATATCAGTGGCGACTCCAGTGGTTGAATGTCTCTGTGTCAGCTTGAGCGAATCAACATTCAAGTATATCTATTTCAAAGCAACAAAAATTTTTTATAGTGTGTTGTTTTTATTCTTGACTTCTGCTGGATCCAAAATTGTTTTAACTCTGCGCCTCAACATATTGGCTGAAATACTTTTCGTTGATATTGTTCATAATAAAGAAGAAAGAAAGAAAAGAATGAGTAGAAAGAAAGAAAAGAATGAGTAAAAAGAAAGAAAGTCAAAAAAAAAATGAAATAAAATTAACATGTTTAGTCGGGCTGTGTAGATCCAAGTCCTATTGAAGATGGAGACATATTTAATAAGCAATATATTTCCTGCTTTAATTTTATAAATAATCTTTTAAAAATCTCTCATGACTTGTATGCCCTATTTTACAAAAAAGACATTGCTATTTCAACTTATTGTTTTCATTTTAAATAATTTACTCTGCCGTAGAAGCATGAAAAAATCGATTATTTCCACTATCGATGGGAGTTGGGAAATACGTCAGTCTTAGCCTTCCCGCTAACTTGGAGCATGTGCATGTAAATTTTGGTGCAAATCCGTCGAAAATTGCGTCCGTGCATTCATTACAAACACACACACATCCTGCCTTTTATAGCTAGAGATATATATCTAGGCATTAGTATGTATATGTATCTCTCTGTGTATTTTTAGTTTAATTTATTATACAAGTTTATGATCAGTACTACTGACTGGTATAACATTTCCACAAGACTACCCCAGTCATACTCCTCACCCCAACCCACCAGTCAAATTACTCTGTACAGTATAAAGTTTTTCTGTGGAATGTATCTTTTGAGAAAGGGCAAATTAAATTTAACCTGACCTTAGATTTGGTGAAAATCAAATAAAGTTTTTATGTAGTTTGCGCACCATTTTCTACTGGCCAGAGTAATAGCCAATAGCTGGCTGCAACGAATAGACTGGAAGATTCTATTGGCCAGCGTGAGAGCCAACAGTTGACTGACATGAATGTTAACTAGCATGCTAGCGTGCAAAAAAAAATTGATAACTGCATTCGTCACAACTGGGAAAAATTTAAATCTGCATGGCACTTTACTCTAATAGGCTCATTCACTTGCTTAAACTCAACGTTGATTCTGATTCCGCAGAACTGGGTTGGGTGTGAAAATGTATTTGTTGTTAACATTCTTTTTTCATTCGGTTTTTCCAGTTACGAGTCCTTTTTTAAAGCTGATCGTTTTGTGTTCATTTTGTTTAGTTCTTTTTTCGTAACAGATTTAATGTTTAGTATAGAGCTTAGAAAAAATTTGCAGTGTGAGATAAGCAAGAAGTAAGGCATGTAGTAACATCAGCATGGCAAAGGGCACTCCTTTAAAAAGCAAGGAAGGGCAAAAATATTTTAAGTCAAGTGATAGCGATTGCTGTATGAGTATGAGTTATGCGATTTTTTGAATCAAGCACGGGCAACGCCAATATGCTAAAGTATATATATATATATATATATATATATATATATATATATATATATATACACAAACACAAACTCAAGGTAGGTACACACATAATTTAAAAAAAGACAAAAAAAAGACATATCAGACTTTATCTTCTCTCTTTTTTCTTAAATGTCTGGAAAAATTTTTTCAAATGAATGTTTATTTTTACAGAATTATTACAAATAATATTAAAATACCAAAATGTATATTTTTTTAATTTCATGCTTTTTTTTTTGTAATTATATATTTTAGAGTAAAAAAGGAATCATTTTAGGATCTAAGTTATAGCAAAAATATATTTTGTTAAAGATTGTAATGAGCCTGACAAACATTAATGACCTAAAGTTGCCACTGATATATATATATATATATATATATATATATATATTTGTTGCAGACCCGGTAGGGTGAAGTGCTGGTTTATTACAAAGTGGCCTTGTGCCGGACACCACACTAAACTACCGAGTCCACAAACAATGTATAAAAAGAAATGCGTGAATGAACAGTGAGAGGAAAGGGGTCAATCAACGAGTGCATAAATTATGAACATCAAAGAGATAGCCGGAATAAAATGACAAAGGCGTCTGGATGTAAAACATGTGTATGTGATTTTTTTTTTTTTTTTTATCTTTTTTTTCTTGAATTAACTGTTGAACGAAGTTTTGCTCACGACTGTGTCGTGTGTCTCGAACGTCTTCTGGTCGAAAACAGAGAAGGTCTGACCTGCGGGCAGTTTCAAGACGAGAAGAAATCTTGGTACAGTGTGAGGTCGACATTGTTGAAATAAGATATTCCGGCCCGCATATGGGTTAAGGGCATGGAATAAATGAGTTGCCCGTCTAGTTAGGTCGAAAGTCGGGAGGCAACTGGCTTGCAAACGCTGTTCGTTTGAGACGCCGAGAAACGCGCAGGAAAAATTCAAAATCTGTTAGGCTGACTTCATCAGTAGGAGCTAGCGAAGTTCTTCCTCCAGGTTACTGCTATGTCTAGCTGTGAGAGGAAGGAAGGGGTGCAAACTGCGCGCACACACGCACGAGTGTGAAAGGAAAGGAGGAAAACTCGCGCGCACGTAAAATATAGATGGAATTAATGTGTTAATTCCATTATATATATATATATATATATATATATATATATATATATATATATACATACACTTCTTTCAAGATATCAGTGGGATCTAAGTGAAAAAGTTAAAAAAGAAATAAAGATGTCTACCCTGTTATCAATTGGAAGATTTAAAAAAAAATAAAAACCATAAAAGGGGGATATGAGATTTGTCAATTGAGCTAGGGGAAAAACGAGCTATGATTATGTTTGAAGAATAAAATAAATTATTAAGTAAAAAAAAAAAGAAAATGAAATAATGTCGAAGCACAGGTATTCACATAATTACCGATTATTGTGCTTTGAACCTGACTAAAAGAAACATAATTGAACATATACTGACCTTGTGGCACATTCTGTTACGATGTGCGTGTGCAGATAAATACTTAATGGAACACAAAGATGATTGAAAAAACATCAATATGGAAATTTCTGATATGTGACAAAAAATCGTTATATTTTAAAATTTAACAATTATTCTTAGACAGCCTGAAAAGTTAATAACAGCAAAACTATAGGAGCTTGTCTATAAGTTTAAATTAAATTTTTCATCTTGTATTTAAGTCCTGGATATGACAATAAACTACATTCACCAGCGAGTCTTCTGATTGGTAGATTGGAGGATTTGAGGAGTGTAGAACCACCTTTTAATTGCTGTTGTTCCCATGTCTGCCCTGACCCGTGGTGGCAGCACCTGTTAGGGTCCCAGCTATGGACAGATAGTACCTATCAGGGCTGACCTATCTTGGCTGGGAAGTTTTGCCATACCCTTCATATTCACCAGATTTTGCACTTTCATATTTCCACCAGTTTCAGTTTCTTCAAAATTCACTGAACAGACAGACCTTCGACTTTGAAGAGGATGCAAAAAATTACCTGGAAGAGTTTTTCACCAGTAAAAGATAGAAAATTCTTTGAACAGAGAATAAAAGATCTGCCTACACGATGGCAGGAGATACCAGAATAAAACAGCAATTATATTACTGACTGAATAAATTGCATTGTGTTTAAAACTAGTGTCTTGTTTTCGTTTAAAAAGCTGAATGGACATTTTAGCCAGACCAATATATTCAACCAATCAAGAAGAATTACAGGATGCTATGATAACAGCACAGGACTCAAATTTCGAAATAGTGCTTCTAGAACATTACTGAATCCATGCCAAAAGAACTGAGGTGGTTCTAAAAGCAAAAGTAGTTCCAATCTGGTACTAGAAGAGGGTACCTAATAAGATGACTAATAAGTATATATTGAAATATATTCAAAGGATTAGCTACATTTTTATTAATGAAATATATTAACAAGTATGGTGTTTTGAAAGAAACTTTCATTCTTTACACACACACACACACACATATATATATAGCAAACCAATCTAGAATTGCAGGACAACATCATATTGCAGGGATAAAAATTTTCAGAATGTTTCCAGAACACTCCAATAAGAACATGCTAATAAGAGCTGAGGTAGATCTAAAGGTAAAAGCAAATTCGACCCAACACTAGTATAAATAATAAAGTGACCATTGAGTGTAGAATCAACATAAACTCAATATTATCGTTCAAACTGATACATGATGCAAGCTGTTGAGTTTTGGTGCTGGTACTAATATCAATTAATGGTCCCAGAGATAAAAGCAGAAGGAAAAAAAAAAAAAAAAAAAAAAAAAAAAACTTACGTGATTCTTTGATTTCTTCAGGAAAAAAAGTTGCATCTTTGGGGTTAAAAGCTGCCGTCCGTAACACATAATCAGTGTTCATTGCCATTGTGTTCACCCAGTGACCATGACCTTGTAATGTTCTTTTTAAAGAACCCTGCAATATATATTTTTTTTTAATGTGATCAGATTGTTTCAACTACAAAGATCAATAAATACATTTATTTTTTATAGAATTCTTTACATTATTTAAATTTAATTTTTTATTATACGTGTGTGTGTGTGTGTGTGTGTGTGTGTGTGTGTGTGTGTGTGAGAAGGAGGAAAGTCCTTGGCTTCCCAAAATCTGATCAATAATGAGAAAATGTTTTTTGTATCTCTTTTTGGCCTTTGCTAAATAAGCATGTATGCTTGGGGTACCAAAAAGAAGTGGGTGGTCACCATAGACTTTTTTTTTTTCATTTCTGAAGGTATTACTACTATTATTCCAGATTACAAAATAGTGAAAAGCCAAGAAAACCATATTCCTCTTTAGTTTTTTAGTATATTACTGAACATCCCAAATTCTCAAAGTTGGCTCCTTCAGCTCTTCATTTGTTTTACTTTATTAATAACAAAAAGTCTTAATTGGAGGTAGGATGAAGTCATTAGATTAACAAAATAATGCAAGAAAGAACATTTCTTTTAATCATTTCTTTTCAAACAAAGCAATAAAGTCTCTGCTACTGTTCAATAAACATGGTTTGAGTGATTTTTACGGCTTATCAACCTTGCAGGTTATTTAAAGCCATAAAATATTTCTAGATTGTAAAAATGTTTTTGCTATTTAAACACTTACCAATAAAATTGGTAAGGTTATCGGTTGTACATGGTGTGTGAAAAAGAAACATGATTCTAGATGTGAGGAATGCTGAGTTTCTTTAAAGAAACAGTAAGGAATTGACAGTAACTGATAACATTTCAAGTGGAAGAAGAATACAATATTTATTTCCTTGGTTTAGTTTTTATTAGATTACATAAAACAAAATCCCATATTTTAAATATTGAAAAAAAAGTGGGGGGGGATTAAGGGAGGTAACTCATCTAAAAAATAATGCATTTATCTCCCTTGAAAAGTTGTTTAAAAAAAAAGGAAAAAAATGTTTTTGATTTTTTTCAAATTTGTATTTCTTTCATTGATTAGCATAGTAAACACGATTTTGTCACTTTACTTTAAAGTATCAAATAATTGGTTAACAAATGATACATTTCTGTATATTCTGAAATCAATCAAATTTATACTGATTGGAAGAAGAGAAAAAAAAATTAAATAAGGATTTTAACCAGCATTTAGGTTGCTTAATTTTTGCATAAGAATTAGTCCTCAAGCTCCTTAAATTTCTTATGTTTGGGCCCAATAAATAGAAAAAAATCTAACTGAATTGATAGAATTCTTGAACACAGTATAAAATAATATATACTCTTTTTTTAAAATTTTACATTTTTCTTTTCGTTTTTAATCATTTTGTTTTTTATTTTCTTAAACCACACTTCAGTCAGTAGTGATGTTGCTTAATATTTAGTCAAATTTAAGTACAGTTGCTTATAAAAAAAAAAAGATTGTGTAATTTCAGTTGCTTTTTGTAATATTTGCTTGGCTCACCATCCTATAGCTGTCAGGAAGCTGAGTAGAAATAGAGATTAAGTATCTAATGAGACTCGAACACACATCACTTTTGTTCTCAAGAAGTCTGTCTTAACGCAACAGCTGCCATACAAACTAACTCACAAAGGCAACTTCATACATTGTTTTATTTTGGGTAGGACACCATTACATTCTTTGTTTTCAGAAAATGGTGACTGAAATGTAGTTCAAGTAAAATGTCAAATCAGTTTAGCAAAATGTTCTGATTCCCAACTGTTAAGCTGGTCAGTTGATATGTCAGCAAAGATGACAACTACAATGTCATGTGAATCCTGCCAACTTTTTCTCTTCTACTCAATGCCAAGGCATATCTTAATAATGAATATTTTGCATATGCCGCCATCTTTGGTCACAATATTTCAATATTGATGGTAGCAGGATTATTTACTTGCATATTTTACTTTTATAAACATGACACTTGGACAATACACTTTTACATGCATTTATATATTTTCCTCCCTTGTGACAAGGTAAGTAAGTACTAGTTTTATTATCATCAAAGTGAACGCAGTCAACTCAATGTTTCTGGCAATCCATACCTTCCGTTTCCATTACAAGAAAGACACTCATTAGCATACCGATCATATCAGTCCATTACCACAATAAGATACATTTTTGACAAGTTTTCTTTTCTACTTATTATTATTTTTATCAAATTACTTACAATGTTAAATTCTACAACTACTAAAATAAGAAGCATGGATTAGAAATTTAAAAAAAAAAAAAGCTGATTTGAACTCAAATAATAAAAGCCTGTTATAAAAAAAAATTGAGGAAATACAAAATAGTTAAAAATAATGATTAATAAAAAGTGTTGATAATTATGAATAAATATTATAATAGACTTTGTGTGTCTTTTACACTTACTCCTGAGAGAATTGTATTTAAAAGAAAGCCAGACGGTTTATAAAAAGTAAATTTGATGTTTTATGTTTGTAAAAGTTTACTAAATTTAGAATTGGCTCTAAAACAATCACCAAAAATTAATTTGGTCATGCTGGACTGTTTCAAAATTCATATTTCAAATTTTAAAAATATATACTCTTTGTAAAAATTGTATTTTGTTATATTGTTTTAATGTTTTGTAATAAATGTTTGTTCCTTTTAAATTTACTTTAAGAGTTTAGAGTCGTGTTTGTTTTTGTATGCATCTTTTTTAATATTTGGGATAAGAGAGGTGAAGTCTGCAAAAAAATTCTTTTACTATGCATTTTTCCATTGATGCTAACTAGATAAGCTTTTGGGATGTGGCCGTCCTGGGTATGACAATAAACTACATCCACATCCTGGGTAAGACGATAAACTACGCCCAACAGCAAGGCCTCTGATCAGGAGGTTTTGAGGAGTGTGGACCCACCTCTTAATTGGTGACATTCCCAGGTCCACCCTGACCCAGGGTGGTAGCACTTGTTAGGGTCCCAGCTATGGGCAAATAGTTGACACCCAAACTTGTGTAAAAATAGGTTTTAATACCAGGAATACTTTGTAATAAAAAACAAATATTACCAGCAATAATTTTTGAAGGAAGAATTATTATCAGCAATACTTAAAAAAATAAAAATAAAATAAAACAAGTACCAGCAATACAAACAGCTATAGATTCTTTGAAAAAAAAAAAAAAATAAGACAAGCTACAGATTTCTTCAAGGATAAATATTCCCAGAAATAGATTTTCGAAGAAAAACATTACCACCAATAAATATTTTGCTGGCATTAAAATAACTCATTGAGGTTGATATGCTGTAAAACAAACCAAACCAAACCTGGGATGTGGGTTTCAAATCAAAGGTTATTTGAAATTCAAGTTGCTTACTTTAATGCTTGTACAATTTAACAATCTGAGAGCTGTGACAAAAAGCAACAATTAGATGAAAGAAAAACTAATACAAAATAATGAATATACATCATTTAATATATACTCTTTTTTAAAAGTTTTTCAAATTAAAGACAACAAAAACAAACTTACTTCATCAGGGTTCCAGACTTTAATTGTACGATCTTGAGATGAAGAAAAGATGAGATTCTCTCCACTCCATTTAACACACGTGATAGACTGAAGATGGCTGCTTAGTGTTAATTTGCATTGACTCAGTAATGTGTCCCAGATTCGGATGGTGGCATCCTTGCAATTATAAGAAAAACAGTTAAAATTAAGAAGAAAATTATTGGGTAATGTAAACAGTTCATTTGATTTATAAAGTAAAAATGAAAGAAAAGTATTTTATTGGAAAATATATTTATTGGAAATTCCTAGCCAAATTGTTGAATTCAATTTCCTGAAAAATTTCTCTGAAATTCCGAGATTTTGGGACACCACATAACAGACAGAGATTGTAGGTATATAGCTGTGCTAGAGCACAGCTAAAAAAGCAAGAAAAGAAACACATTTTAATTCAAATTTTAATCCTAGAAAACAAATATGTCACATGAATAACATTTAGCATTAATTTAAAAATAATTTTCCATTTAAAAAAAAGCATATAATAAATGTTATTCAATGCATGTCAAGTTGTGTTAGAAAATTCCCTGATTTCCTTGACATAAAACCAAAATTCCCTGTTTTCATCAAAACCCAGATTTCAGGATCACTGATTACACAACACTTTTTCAAATGACTTTCAAAATTCTAAGTTTGCATGGGCGTCATTTCATTTGAATATACTTAAATCTATTTATTTTTAAAGTAAAAAGATTTTCTCTATACCTAAAACTACCTGGTACCACTTCATTTGGCCAACAAGCCGTCTGTCATGTTTTTCTCTCCTCTTATGAAGTGAAAGATAAGGATTAATTTTAGAATATTTAATTTCATTCTATTGTTAATCAACAAATCGTTTTCATATGGCTTGATCAACAACTAGCCACTAAGGATCATTTACAATAACGTTTTACTTTTTCCATTAGCAATTTTCAACATGTCACTGCTTTTTGAGGTCATGTGAAAGAAACATGTAGCTTAGTTAACATTGGTTAATATTCCATCATCTAATTCCAAAGGCATTTTTTTGCTGAGGACTACTTTTATGGAGTTTCAGTTTATAGCTGTTAATTGTTCGGTTGTTAGTTGTTTCTTCTTTTTAAACCCCAATACGCGTTATTTTCATTGGCTGAAATGGAATGAAAGGAAGGAGATACAAGAAGCCAGGTGAAGATATAAAGACTCAGACTTATTACTATGGAAGCTTGCAACTAAGTTTTGAAAGAGGGAGGAGTCTCCCCAAGCAATAAAATGGCTGCCCTTCCCAGCTGAAGCCTCAGTTGTTTCTTTTTTGTTGTTTCTTTTTCGCACAAAGAAAACTCTTCTTTTTCCGAGCATGCTCAGATTGTTCTTCCTGCCAGAGACCTTCTGGGAGCTTGTTATTTCTTTTGAAATTATTTTATTTTGTGTGTGTGTGTGTGTTTTTATCTGGTTTTATTTTATTTTTCATCATTATCACTTTTATTTATTATTCAATACCTGCTCTTTCAATGGGTCAAATTGGAGACAGTATTTGTTCAAATCAATCATTTGCTTCTCTGAAAGAAGCTCAGAATACTAGAGAATTTCTCTCCAATCCCACTATTTACAGACATTCTTTCGCTGAAGTTTGGCCTTTGATTCTTTTGGCTTATGCTGATTTATTTTGCTTGTTCAATAATCTTGTGCATTCCATGTTATTGTAAAGTATCCTCTTTTCATCGCTTGTAACAATTTGTTTGAAAATGGAGCATTTAAATACACTTTTTTTTTTATTAGCATTGGATAATTTTAACTGAGCTTAATCCTATTTAGCTAATTTTCAAGTTTAATGCTTAAGATATAACCTTGAGAGAAATTTCAGCAATTTTTTGTAGCTTATATTAAGAAAAAGTCTGAGCTTTCCATCATACTTAAAATATGCTTCACTTTTGGATTAATCTGTGCTTTGTTATATTTATAAGCTCTAGGGTAAAAAAGTGTACAGACTAGGAGGTATTTTTGTTCAGCTTGCTGTGTTAGAAGTGGAATAAGGGTAAAAAGATTGTGAAAACTGAACAGAGGAAGATAATGGACGTGTTTATAGAGAAGGAGTAACTATTATTTTAACTTATGTCTTGGTTTTGCAAAACGAAGATTAAGAGGGAGTTTCTACACGTTGCTTGTGGGCATGTTTGTGACTGATAAGTCCAATGCTGGACACGGTTGCAGTAGTTGCAGCTAAAAGTCAGTCTTGGGCTTGATGTTATAACATTGCAGTACTTCTTCCTTTGCTTCTTATCTTCCACCTGCCGTTTTTGTCCCTTTCCCATTGCTACACAGCTTGAAAATGGCTGGTGGACATGAACGTCTCCCTCAGGCATGTGTAGTGGAGTTTTTAGGTGAAGTGAAAGTGTGGGCTGAACTGGCCCCACCCTTTACAGTCAGGATTCGACCTGTCATGGCCTAGCAAGCTGGGATGATGACAGTGAAGTCCCTGGGCCATAGGTTTGACAGAGTGTCCTTCTCTTAGCCAATGGCTAGGCAAAAATAAATTGTGGGGTCCAAGACTCCCAGGGTAATCGTGCTGTTGATCAAAAAGCTTCCTCCGCCATTTTGACAGGTCTTGTATATAATCCTGCAGGGTGACTAGCCACCCTTCTGGCAGAGTAACTCTGTCCGGGTACCGGTTTATTCGTCAATAATCCGTCTATGAAACAGGTAGTACTGGGTTACAAAATGCTAGGAGCGCTACTGGTACAACCGAAAAGTAAAATGTAAGGGAGATAATTATCGGAGTTATCGAACTTGGTGGCATTTTTCTCAACAATTTATTTGCTTATGATGAAGCCACAAAAAATGTCAATAACATGCCCAACTGGCGAAAAAGATTTTAAAAGCTTTATTTGGAGATTTTGAGTATATTGGTTGTTTCCTGCTTCATATTATTCACAAGTAATGCTTTCGTTTGATCACTATCAACTTGACAGTGAAGTAAATTTCCATATTTGCCTGTATGAATTAATTCAATAAGATGAAACAATAACAAGAAACAATATCTGCAATCTCACATCAACTGCTTTCATTTTCCCCTCTACACTTGCAAAACTTCCCACTTCAGATAAAGATGTACCTCTGTTCAATAGTGTTAAAATAGGTACCTCCACGAGATCGCTAAAAAAAGAGCATAGCATTATGAAAAAGACGCCAAACTTGACGAAAACAAAATTTTATCGTCTAAATGTTTATGTTATTATTAAGAGGAAAGATCAAAGTATTTTGGAGGTATTTTTTTCCATTTTTTAATCGTTCCTCGTATGTCCGAAATTTTCGTTAAAAACCTTGTTTTTTTTGAGTCAGCAAAATTGACCATTTTTTTGCCATTTTATAAAAAAACTGGAAATCTCACTTTGAAATTCTTTTAAATATCAATTATCATTTTTTCAGAAATTATAATGTTTATTTAAAATATTTTGAACAAAACTTAACTTAGCTTCTACACCGAAAAGATGTAATTTGAAAATAAAACAAAGCAGGTCATAAACTTTCACGTCACTTGACAGGTGATGAATGACATATTGACGGATTCCGTGAGGATAATTCCTTCTGCACAAGGAGAGGAGTGAAATTATTTACATTTAAGTGAACAAATTATTTACCTCATTATTTTTAAGGAAAACTTTCAGCGCTCTAATTTTTTTTTTTGTACTTAGCTTTTACCTTTACGTTTACAATGCTTTATGGAAAATATATTATAAAGAAATTAAAATAAGACCGTTAAGAGTGAGATTAAATTTCATAAGAAATTAATCTATAGGTGCCTTTCTTATGGAATTTTATCAGAAGTGTACATAAAATACTATAATTTTATGTACATTTATTACATTTTACTGTGTTACTTGTATTTCCATTCATTTTATTATTAATTTTGATATTTTATTTATGGAAAAATGACATAACTGAGATTAATATAAAAATAAGATCATATAAATTTCATAAGATGATACTGATACTTGTAGGTACCCTTCTCAGTTGAAATTGAAAAATCAAATTAACTTCTCCACACGTTTCTCAAATGATACAATTTACAACACGCTAAAAAAAATCTATCTCATAAGGAGACTTAGGAAACCAGATGCGGCTTTTAACTAATTTTATAATATTTTAAAAAATTAAATGTAAAAATCTATTACAATTAAGAAATAACAAATAATTGTTTTAAAAATTCATTTTTCATCAAAAAAATTTTTTGCTTTCAGAAAATGTTGTCCATATTCATAAAAGCAAATAAAAGCATTTGAAATTAAATAATATCTTTGTTTTATTGAGTTTTGTATGTTACAATTCAGAGCTGATTTTCAGGTAGAGGGGGTCCAATTAAAAACAAAAAAAAAATGATTTGCATTCCTCAAAGCCTTGTGCTTTTAACTATTGTAATCACTAAACCTGATGTGATCGAATTTCTAGCATTTTCATAAAATTAGTTGGGGGGAAATAAATATTAAAAAAATATTTCTACCATGAATTTTATAAAAAAGCCTATTTATAATAATTTTGATCATCTGTGAATAGTTCCTGAAAGTTTCATTAACATCTAACAATTATTTTTATTTTTGCAAGATTTTTCAAATTAATGTGTGTCATATCAAAAAAACGTGCTAAAAATTGTCTGTTATTTTACTAGTTCCGGTGATACAAAGAGAAACAAGGTTTTTTTTGTTTTTTTTTAATCAAAATTTAGAATGTTCTAAAAAGAAGGAAAATTTTTTAAAAATAATTAAAAAAAAAAAAACTTTGTTCTTTCCTCTTTATAATAACATAAGCATTTAGACGATAAAATTTTCTTTTCGGCAAGGTTGGCGTCTTTTTCATCAAGCTATGCTCTTTTTTTAGTGATTTCGTGGAGGTACCTATGTTAAAACATGCTTTTTTTTTTAAAATCATTTCAATCCAACCAAGGTGATAAAAGCCTCTGAAATGCAATCAGTTACTGACAGTAGAAGAAACAGAGTGGACAATAAAAGGACAGAATTCAAAGAGACAGAAGATGATGGATGCATTTAAATTTAAAGAAAAGCAAGAAGCCAGAAGAGAGAAGAAACTATTAGCATATAACATTATAATAATAATATTATGGTTACAACTAGTAATTTCAACTGTAAAATGATGAGACCTAACTGCCAATCTAGTACTAGTCTTAAATCTTGAAGTTAATGTATCAAAGAGGAAAAGTTCATGAGAACAATTACCATGAAAGTATTTATAGAAAAGGAACACGGACGTTATGTTATGATGATGGGAAAGTGACTGAAGCCAAGATGCCAGGTTAGGAACAATAACATTGATAACAGATTGTTCTTTGGATTTTGTCGAAAATCTCTGGATACATAGCAGAAGCACCAGACCAGATGTGGCAGCAATATTCAAAGCAAGGATGAATGGGAGACTTAAGGTGCAAGATAGATTCGGTTGAGAAAAATTGTCTAGCACTAAAGAGCAAACCAACTTTCTAAGCAGCAGACCCAACAATTAATTTAATATAATCATTCCATTTCATATCAGTATAAAATACGAGACGAAGATGGTGCAATGAAGTGCTCCACTGGATATCAGCATTGGCAAGAGAGGTTCACTAAGGTGAGTAAAAGACAGCAGTTTCATTTTGAAGCTGTTAAACTTAAGTCATTTATTACCCAAGTTAACAACAGATTGAAGGTCATTTTTTAGATCAGCTACTGATCTGATTTCATTGAATTTAATAGCTTTACTATTAAAACAGGAGTAAATCGTCATATCATCAGCATAGATATCAAATTGGAAACTCATGACATTGGCAAAGCTATTGATTAAAAGAAAAAACAAAGTAGAAGCCTGGGGGATACCTGCAATAATGTAAAAAGATCTAGAAGAGTGGCAGTTCAAGACAGCATTCATTATGTGATTTAATAAGAATGAAGGAATCAAATCTAAAAACTGGCCAGGAATCCTTCAACTTGGGAAGAAGACCAGTATGCCAAACCCTGTCAAATGCCTTTGAGATAACCTGAAGCAACAATCTTAGCTTTGTTGTTCTTATCTAATGCTTGATAGATTCTTTCAGCAATAACTCTCAGCACATTGGTGGTTGCTCTAGAGAAGTGAAAGCCATATTGTTTATTTAAAGGAAGACCCTGTGCAGTGAGATGCTTATCCAATTTTGAGTTGATTAGCACCTCTAGTACTTTCCCCAAAATACAGGAACTACAGAAAAGGATTTCCAACAAGCAGAAAAGATCAAATCTCAATGCAATATACCATTTTCAAGAAGAATCGCAAAATAGCAAACCTAATACTCTTACTATATAATATGCTAAATGCATTTATATTGTTTATTTTTTTTTACCTACAACTTTTAATATTACCATGGCAAAGGAAATAACTAGCAATGTCATTATTATTATTATTGTGTATCAAACCCTGGATTTCGGGTCAGCATTATGGCAAGGGTTAATTCTCTTTAGCCAAGTTTCAAATCTTGAAATCAGTTGTCTTAGTGAAGAAATTACTTTTGCTATTTACGAAACAAAACAATGAATATTGCTGATTTTCTTCTAGTACTGGTTGAAAATTAATTGTTTTCACAGCTCAAATATTTTATATTTGATTTCATGAAAAAGTATTTAAAGTAAAATTTTTGTAAAGATTTCTTCTCAAATTGAAATCTAAGTAAAAATTAAGGATTGTAATTAATGATCACAAACGATGAAAGTAAAGTTGAATAGAAACACATACCTTTGAAGCACTGGCTAAATATCGGCTTTCAGGATCTCTAAAAAGAAAAGAGAGAAAAAAAAAGATTCTGTAAATTTGATGTGTGTCCTGATCATTTTGAGATTTGTAAGCATGGCTATCCTGAAGAAGTACTATCTGTAATCCATGAAGTGCCATTATCATTGAAAGATTTATTTGGATAATTTATTACATTTGAAAGCATAGAATATTCAATAATCCAAGATCAAATTATCAATAATCGTAATAAATGCCTGAAAAAAAACTTTTTTGAACTAAGCTAAGTAGCAAACATGGATGAAGGTACACTAGAATTCAATGTACCACCCTAGAATTCTTTTCTTAATATTCCCTGTTGAATGGGGTTGTGCATCTTCTTACCAAATATTAAAAATTTTATAAATTTTTAATAAATACATGAAAAGAAACTCCTTTTAAATTAGGTCAAGTAGGGAACATGGACGAAATTCAAGTCACATTCAATGTATTAATCCAATAATTTTTTCCTTGATGTTTCTTGAAAACCTGAAATGTATAATATGACACCAAATTCTGTAATTTGGAGAAGAGCCATTATCATTTCAGGAATTATTCAGACGATTAATCTCGTCATTTCTGTTGCTTGAATAAAATGAGGCATTGGAATAAACGGGGTGGTGGTAGGGGCAAAATCTAATAAGGTGGCACTGGAAAAATCCGAGGAGCTTTTAAAGTCTAGACTTTAATTTATTTGAGTGAAGGAATGGTACATATACATACAGCAAATTATTTAATGAGGGTTAAAAACAACTTCCTTCCTTATCAAAATAATTAAATCTTACAAAGTATGTTTCTAATGTCCTTCAATATTTTTTTAATAATTTCACCCCAAGCAAGGTAATAAAGTCACTAAGACACAAGAGGTTACTGAGTGAAAGAATATGATAAAAAGAAAACATTATTAAGGAGAGAGAACAATAAAAGAAATGGAATTAAGAAGATCCTGGCAAGAAGAATTATCTAGCAGGACACAGTGAACTGACTTTCTTAGTAGCAGACCCAGCAATTGGTTCATATCAGTGGAAGCTGTTCTCTAAAATGATTAAGACAATTTGTTATTCTTTTCTTCATAGATCACTGTGTTGTATGTAACCATGAACTGTTTGCATGAATCATATAAAAAAATTTAAATCTTGTCAAGCTTTTCAAATATTCTTTTCTCAGCTATATCTTTAAAAATTATTTTTAAAATAATAAAGAAAGATGGCATGTTACACAATTAAAATTATTTTGATTTGCTATGATTCAAATTTTTCAAATTGAATGAACTATAATTTGAATAAAGTTTGAGAATCTGTATCAAATCAGTTTCAAAATTCTCACCTCCTGGATGATATAATCAAGAAGTGACCTTGTTTGGTGAGATTTGAACCCAGGTCTCATAGTTGGAATATGAATGTTCTAACCACTTGGCCATACACCCAATTCTGTTTCTGAGCTGCAGCTATACACTGTGAAATTCTTACAGGCCCTGCACAAAAGTCAAAAATTAAACTCTCCACTTACAGATGTAAAGGTTTCCAGACTAAGCATGTAATCCACTGTTTGTGACCAGACAATGTGCGCCCAATTTGCTTTCCTGTTTCTGGGTCCCATATGATAACCTGGAAATGAAAATTCAAAATGTTTACAAGCACTTCTATTCAGCAATAAAAACAGTGTCAGCGTGAAGGTATTCAACACCCTAGGCCAGCCTTACAACATATGCACTTTTCTTTCCATCCAAGAAGTTTTGATAAGAATAGATTATTCAGTCGACTGCAGTATTTCAATTGTTGCACACTAAACACCTCCTTCTACAAAGGTTTTACTTTGCTATATAGTTTTAGGAATTCTAGGAGATTGCCTAGCATATATTCCTCTGTCTAGATAGAAGTAAAATCTTGGTAGCAAAATTTTTTTATTCACAAACTATTAATACCCCAAGAAAAAATACATGATATTTTCCAAAATAATCCAAGAAGAGGAATCTTTCTATTTCTTGTACATGGGAATTAAATACTCTAAGATTCCACAGTTAGTTGTAATATTCAGATCAGTAATTATGGAATGAGTCAGGGCTTAAGATTAATGCCATTCTCAGGATAACAGAACATTACTTTGGGTTTGGTTAGGTTTTCTTAGAACAATGGGACAATAAATTTTGGACAAATTTTAACCTTTATGCTCACAAATAAATTGTGTGTCAAAAAGACTATTTCCTTGAAACTCCTATTATTGACTCCCTGGGCAATGTTTATTTACAAAATTGTAAAAATATGCGAACCAAGTTCAATGCAATATTTATTATTTATTTTTTAAAATTTATTTACTATTTTATAAAGAAATAAATTTGAAGATAAATCTTTTTATTCAAAAATTTGTAAAAACAAAATTATTGAACTATGTAAATCAACAACACAATATTTGCTGTAAAAATTACAGACATTCTGTAATTATACACAAGGAAAACTTTGTTCACTTAATAAATAGGGAGATACATGCCCAAAATATTTAGTGTTTGTGGTCCCACCTAAAATCGAAATCAATTCAGAGGATCAGATGGTTTTAACCTAGTGAATTTAAGTAGCAAGAGTAAATGAAAGAAGTACCTGGAAAATGCAATTTTCTTGTTCACAGACATTTTTATAAATATACCAATAAAGAATTTCTTTTCAAATTTATTTCTTTATAAAATGATAAATAGTAAATATTTCATTATAGTTGGTTCACATATTTTTATAATCTTGTAAATATAAAATTATTCTTAAATAAGCAATCTAATAAATGAATAGTGTTTAACATGTTTGTTGTCAATTCTCAGGAATAACAAAATGTATAAATCCACTTTCATATGTTTGGGTTTTAGTAAAAATCTAATTATCAGTTTTTAAAACAATAAACATTGCTGAGGGAGTCAAAAGTGTATACAGTAATAGCAGTGTTAAGGGAATAAATGTTCTTTTGACACACCGTTTTTTTGCAGGCACAAATGTTAAACATTGTCAACAGAAGAAGATGCAGACAACATCACTGAGTGGACTGGAAGATCATTTATAGAGACTCAGACATTGGCATGCGATTGAAACACACAGACAATCACTAAGAATCTCTAACATTTATATGCAATAACCATAAGATCACACTCTAGGCATTTATTTTCTATATAAAGAATATTAATGCATTCCAATTATACACAATCAAAAACGTTTTTTAAAGTCTTCAGCAACAAATTTTCATTTCTTCCCTTGCACTGTGTCTCTATATATATATATATATATATATATATATATATCATCTTCATTATTTCTTAAATCCTCCCTTACATTTTCAATTTAGTCTGTAGCAAACAAAAAGCAGAAATACCTCCCACATTTAAAACTGTCACCTGTGTGGTGCTAGTGAACTTAGGAAAGTGGCAATGGTGTCTTCATCCAGTTAATATCCTACTATTATGGAGGAGATATCTCTTGGAGGTATTTCTACCACACCCTATATAAATGTTGATTGTTAATAGTTCACTTAAGAAAATCAACAGAAAAATATATAAATTTTCTTGCTTTGTTTATTAAAGCAAAATTTATCCTTTTGCAAACACTATATTACTCTAAGTTGCATTTTAATTTTTGCTCCCGTCGATGTGCACTGAAAGTTAGGAGAGGGCCTGTTGCATGCTCACAAAGTAACAGGATGAAAAACAAATGCCACATTGAGAAATGCTGTTTCCTGTATTATATGTAGATGTTTTATTCAGGGCTTTGCCCTCTTGTCTGACACTTTGGATAACTTCTATGTCAATTTCATAGATCAGTTTTTCTCACTACAATCTACACATCCTGATATGTGGCTGGCAATAAGAATGGGTGGAAATGGAACCATGCAACAGACAAGCCTGTCTTCTGCCAAGAGTGGATCAGAACTGACTCCTTGATCCCAAGCATGACTGTTCATACAGACCAGCAACTGGATACACCTTAGGTCCGGTTTTGTTGCTGCTTGGTCTCCAACAACCCCTTATCCACTCCTTTACTCCTCTGTTCCCCTTCAATCAAAGTTGTTGTCACTTAGAAAATTTCAAAGAACCATTCACTAGTCATAAAACAGATGAAGATAAAAATCATATCTTTCTCGTTTACATGGATATCCATACAGTTAAACTTTCAATTAGAGCCTAATGTTTTTCACTTTGAGAAATCTTCGAAGTGCCACGTCCTTTCAGGACGTGGTTGATCATGGCTTTCCACAATTGTCATTTGTAGCACTTAGTAATGTTTGTTGTTTTGCTATCACTCCTAATCCCTCTTCTGCTAACCATTTACTGAAGCTCATTAGGCAGGTTATACACTGGTTTCCTCTGTAACTCTAGTCTTCAAACATGTCTGGTGAGAGACAAATTTTTCAAGCCTTCATGATGTGTGCTAGAATTTTCAACTGCCTTTTTCTGATTCTAAATAGAAGTGTCCTTTTTGTTTCCATTTTCTCTAAAACTTCCTTATTTCTCACATGTTCAGTTTATGGTATTCTCAGCATCTTTCTGTAGAAGCACATTCTGTTGCTTCAAGCCTTCTTCATCTGTGAGGAGATTGTCCAGCATTCAGCGTCATATAACAGGACTGATATTGCATATAGATAATACAAATATCTAAATTAAAATCATTCATGTTTCCTTTGTTTCATTCATCAGATTAAAAAGAAATGCTTTATTTTTTTTATTTCTGTTCATGCTCCAATTATTATAAGCCCACCATTATTAGGGAGAAGTATGAAATTACCATATTTGACGGCATATAAGACTCAGGGGTGTATAAGATACACCCCAATTTCAGCAGAGCAAATCAAGAAAAAATTAGTAATTAGTAAAATTAGTAAACCTACATATGGCGTATAAGATGCAGGGGAATTTTAAAAGATATTTTTAGTAAAAAAAATAGTGCGCCTTATATGTTGTCAAATACGGTAGTTACTTTTAGAATATAATCATCATTAGTTCCATGACCAGGTTTGGTGGTTGCTCTCATGCAGCAAATGGGTAGCTATAATATACAGATATACATAGTCTTTAAAATGCTGTGTCCCTTCAGAACTTAGTTGATCATGATTCTGTATGGATTCTTTTTCCTTATCTGTAAATTGCCATGACTTCTTGGGAAAGACAGTGGAGTCCTTTCTCGTTGCCTTCTCTACGGTTTAGAATTCAGAGTTTGCGTTCTCCTAGACTGCTTGCAACTCAGGGAAGTTTAGGCGTTGAAGAACATTTTGGGGAATACTTACTTTATTAATTTTTGACTCCTACTGTTTTACTTAAGAAAAAAAAATGACAGAGCTTAGCTTAATATGACACAAAGCCATAAAGAAGCTAATAAGAAAAGGTTTTAAATTCTACAAAATAAACAAAATAAAAAAAAAAAAAAAAGACAATAAAATTTTCTTTTTTTTTAAATTTAAATTTTTTTTAAATTACCTCACTTTTTTTACAGCCAGATGCCAACTTCATCCCATTTGGTGACCATTCGATGCACAGAATCCAGTGTTTATGTGCTAAAAATACAAAGACATTTTTTAGTAGGTATCCTAAGACTTTGAATTATTTAAGAAAAAAAACCAAAAAAAAAACCACAAGCATTTGGTGACATAGCAAGTTCAATTTCAATCCCTGGGCTGGGCAGTGCAGACCTAGACTTAGTGAAAACAAGAAAAGCAATAACTGAGAAATAGTAATGAGAACAAGACGAGTTATCCCCAGACATGGACAGCAGAATAATCCGCACTTATTTTTTTCAATAACCTCATTCAGTAACCCTCTACCTTGGGTTGCTCTTGGGCATTCTATTAAGTGAAGGTGAATATTTAGTTAAGAAACATAAATAACAAGACAGTTTTTACCTAGACATGGACAGTGTAACAAAAACAATCTACCTCCATAGATTAAATAAAGAGTTTCATTTGAAATTCCCTGAAGGTTACCTGGATCAACAAGCACCTGATGAAGACTGGAGGGCATAACAGCTGAAACATTGTGATTATAACAACAAAGATGAGACTGCCTAAATGCTTTTGAACTCTGCCAAATCTCTCAGAATTAATCAATATTTTCAACGTGTAGTGGATGGAGCAATTGCTGGAAGGTCTATCTATGAAATTCTAGAATTGGGATGCTGAAAATAACATCAATCAGTTAAGTGACAAATTTTATATTTGTATTAATCCTATTTTTTTTTCTTTTAAGCATTTCACTCCAAGCAAGGCGGGAGTGCTACTAGCACGCAAGGGGTTATATAGAGTGGAAGCAAGAGTAAAGAGGCTTGATAGAGGAAAGGATGAAGAGAAGGATGGGGAATTAGATAAAAGCATCTGAAGATGTTGATTCACATGGCATTTGAATAGTTGAATATTATAGCTATCAGGGAAGCAAGTAAGAGGAAGGGAGTTCCACAGACAGGAAGTGCGAGAAGCTATTGGAGTAGAAGAGACGGCAACATTTAACAGTTTCGACAGTGAAAGGGTGGGACCGAGATGCTGACCTAGTAACACACTTAAATTCATGCAGTTTCGGAACCAACAAAAGTAGCTCATCGGCGCAGTTACAGTGAAAGTATTTGTAGAAAAGACAGAGGGAAGCAATAACACATCTGTGAGAAAGTGACTGTAGGTAAGATGCCAGACCAGGACCTATATATATATATATATATATATATATATATACAGACAACACAGTGATGATAGCCTGTTATTGTTTACATGGATGATTTCCAAACAACAATAAACACGTGCATATAAGATGCTAGAAGCGAAAATCACACCATAGCTCATGACGACACACATGACCAAGCAAGAGTGAAAACGAGAAGCATTAAGTATGGGAAGCCGTTGGTATAAACCAATGGCTTCTGTATACTAGATATATATCCATATATTGCTTAATATATTGTACAGTAATTATCATCTTTGATAATGGCTTATGTAAGCCGAAAGCTTAGATTGGATTAAAAACTATGTATCAATATTGTGATTTTCTTTCTTTGTTTAATGATAATGTTATTAAGCTTATCAGACAATATGAAAAGAATTTACATAAAATAAATAGACAACACTTGTCTATATTATTTAATGAAACATGTATGAATGAAAAAATGCTGCCTAAATACACACAATATATATATATATATATATATATATATATATATATATATATAGAGAGAGAGATATGTATTTGTGGTGGAGTAAAATACCTTCAAAAACAGTATGTAAAATCATTAAAAAATTTGATTTTAAAAAAATACCAGTGTTCACCCAAAACAAGGCTCAAGAAACATCTAAGGATGAAGATGAGTGAATGACGTTGTCGTAAGGAGAGTATGAAAGAAGTGCATATTATGAGGATATGTAGGATAGATAATGGTTGATGCCAGACTTCAAGTTAAGATCATAATGATCAGGGAAGCATCTTCTCGGGAGTCTGTTTCACAAAGTAAAAATTCTGGGGAAGAAGCCACCTTAGTGGACCTTCCTTTTTATTAGTGGAATGAAAAAGAGTTGAACTTGTGTACATGGTATGGTGGGTCCAAGCTGTAAAGGTCTGAACTAGTATAATTCTGAAATGTAGTCCAACAGTGTTATTGTGCTCCCTGTATTTGTTGCCATTTCCCCAAAAATAAATAAACAGAAGGTTGTATAAACAGTTTGGAACTCTATCAAATAAGGATTGAGCAGCTTCAACTCATAAGGCAACAATACTCTATTTTGGGTCTAATCTTGATAGAGCATGGCAGGAGGAGTCAGTTACTTTCTGGAACAGTACAAAGAACTGACCATTTTTCCAGCATCTTTGTTATTCCTTTGCATTGGTGGAAGAAGTGCCAATGAAGAGAACAGATAACCTCATGGCAACAGTTGACCAAACCTGCATGTCACATACTTTTATACTGTCTTAAAAGTGAAAAACTAAGGTTTCGGAAAATAACTTTTTTCTTTTCATAATTAAGAAATCTCTCAGAGGTGAAACAAGACATGTCTTGTCGCGACAGCATCCTTTGGCTAAAAAAAAAAAAAAAAAAAAAAAATGGAAAAGGGATCTGGTTCTACCTCTATTCTGATTGGCTGACTAGTTCATACAGCCCCTAGTCAATAAAAAGAATGCCTTGTTTCAATATTCTGACTGCAGGTAGTAAATCTTTTGATTTGACCTGTGGTGACACTGCAAAACTGATTTTACTCCTGAGCTCAGGGCAATCTGTTTATTATCAGACTGGACCGAGATAGTTTGCAAAGTTCTAAATTCAAGACTTTATTTGAAAAAAAAAAAAAAAAAAAAAAAAAAAAAAAAAAAAAAGGGGGGATTTAAAAAGGAGGGAAAAAGCCTTACCTTTCCCTACAAACTGTGGAGTTTCTGTATTGACATCCCAAAAGCGAACAGTTGTATCACCAGAACCACTTGCTAAATACCTGAAGAAGCAGAAAGACATTTTTTTATGGCAGGTTGTTTTTACGACATATCAACACTTGTTGGTTATTTAAGGTCAAATATAAGTCTTATGAGTCAAAACTCATAATTAATAGTTTTAGTATTCAGTCAGTTCACTGCCATACATCATACATGCTTGAGTGATCATGTCTCTTTTGATTCATTGACTGACTCGTCAGAAGATTTTTCCACAATAGGAGGTTGTCATTTCTTTCTGCAATAGACTTGTTGCCAACCAAAGCTGTAGGACCCATGGCAGAACAGACTGGGTGGAACTGTGTATATGGAAGGAGGGAGGGGGAGATATAAAGGTAAACATCAGTTACAATTATATACCAAGGGAAAACACTGAGGATGTGGGATTACTGAAGCTTTAAATTTTATATTTACACATTTTAATTTTTCCTGTCGGGACACAGAGTCTAGCCAATCTAATGCAGCTTTCCTATGCTTTTGTCTTTATCATTTTTAAGTCTTTCACTTTGCGGTGATAGAATATCTGCCAAGAAAGGTGAAATGTTGTCAGAACCTAGGTGCAAATTTACCACAAATGATTTAGCCATCAGCGCACTTTCTATACATTTTCGCTTTCTTCTTTAATTAAATCAGCAATTTTAAATCAAAATTATGGCCAGATCAGTGCTTTTTATTATGTAAGATTTTACATTATTTTTTTCCCCAATTTAAAAAATAGATTTTAATTATCAAAATACAAACAATATTTGTAAAACAGCGGTTATACTTGAGTCTACAGGGAAAAATTGGCCATGTCCATAGGCAAGCATTGGCCAGGTCTACGCTAGAGTCTATAGGCAAGCATTGGCCAGGTTTATGCTAGAGTCTATAGGCAAGCATTGGCCAGGTTTATGCTTGTGTCTATACGTAAAAATTGAACAGGTTTAAACTTGAGTCTATAGGTAAGCATCGGTCACGTCTATATTTGAGCCTATAGATGATAAAATGGCAGATATGAAAAATCCGAACAATTTATGTAAAATGGAATTTGTGAAAATTAATTGCGTCTATAGGTAAACATTGATCAGGTTTTATATTTGAGTCAATAGGCAAACACTGCTTAGTCCATACTAGTATATATAAGTAAACATTAGTTGGATTTATATTTGAGTCCATAGGTCTGGGATTTCTAAAGTGGGTGGTGGCAATATGGGGGTGCAGTTAAGAAAAAAGAGGTGGTAGAGGTAGCATTAGTCTTAATTTGTTATTTATTTTACATCATATTTAGTAGAGTAGGGTTTTAATGCAGTTACCCAGTGTTTGTCCAACTGAGAAAAAAAGACTGAAACATTTACTTCCAGCCTGACGTTAAAAAGTTGATATTCCTTCACCAAGTACATCCATCCGTTAAATCTGTAAATTTGCCCTTTCATGGTGGTAATGGTTTACTTGTTTCTTGTGAAGTGCATCAACATGTTTAAAGTGTTGGATGAGTGACCGTTTTGAAATTGTAATATACTCAATAACAAGTATCTTTATAAAAGTGTGGAAGGAGGTGCTAGAGAGGTGGCCTGAGAAAATGTTTGTGCTATAGGTAAATATTGGTCAGGTATATACTAGAACAATGGTCGGCAAACTATGGCCAATGGGTCGCATGCGGCCCGCCAAATAGTAAATTTGAAAGAGAATGTTAAAGATCAGCTTATAAACAGATATTTATATATGGGAATATAAACATATATTGGCTTATATAGTTTGCCCTCCACCTCTTCCATTTTAATAGAGTCTCCTGTAAAAAATAGGGATGCAACTTCACCACACCAGGTCTGCTGTAGTTTCTATAACAAGTATATTTTTATGGGGTAGAGTTACTAGCTCCATGACCAAGTAATTTTAAATTCAGAGTTGACTTTCTCTTAGAGTAGTAACCAACCAAGGCTAGAAGAACCAGTTTATCTTGTTATTTAACCTATAGAGAGGGAGAGATGGATTCATGCCTTTCCCAAGGCTATTTTTGCACAAGTGAATGCATGTCAATTCTATTTTCCATGCTGATAACTGCTATGCTATAGGCACATCAAATATATTTTCTAAGAAACTTAAAATAAAAAAAAAACTGTGTTTATATAATTTGAAAGATGATCAGTTTAAATATTGCTGCTTTGATCAAAGCAAACTTTTATCCTTCAATCTTTTGCAACTGACTCAGTATTTTTCCAACATCAAGTTTATGTAAGTATTTTTGAATGCAGTCATAGTTAGCTGAATTAAATGCCCCATTTTTATTTTTTATTTTTATTTATTTATATACTAGCAGCATGGCCCGGCGTTGCCCATGCTTGATTCAAAAATCGTACGACTCATACAGCAATCGCTATCACTTGACTTAAAATATTTTTGCCCTTCCTTGCCTTTAAAGGAGTGCCCTTTGCCGCGCTGATGTTGCTACATGCCTTACTTCTTGCCTATCTTACACTGTGAATTTTTTTTCTAAGCTCTATACTAAACATTAAATCTGTTACGAAAAAAGAACTAAACGAAATGAACACAAAACGATCAGCTTTGAAAAAGGACTCGTAACTGGAAAAACCAAATGAAAAAAGAATGTTAACAACAAATACTTTTTCACACCCAACCCAGTTCTGCGGAATCAGAATCAATGTTGAGTTTAAGCAAGCGAATGAGCCAATTGGAGTAAAGTGCCATGCAGATTTAAATTTTTCCCACTTGTGACGAATGTAGCTATTTATTTTTTTTGCATGCTAGCATGCTAGTTAACATTCATGGCAGTCAGCTGTTGGCTCTCACGCTGGCCAATAGAATCTTCCTGCCTATTCATGGCAGCCAGCTATAGGCTTTCACTCTGGCCAGTACAAAATGGCCGCAAACTACATGAAAACTGCTGTAGAAGCATGAAAAAATCGATTATTTCCACTATCGATGGGAGTTGGGAAATGCAAAGTCAGTCTTGGCCTTTCCGCTAACTTGGAGCATGTGCATGTAAATTTTGGTGCAAATCCGTCGAAAATTGTGTCCGTGCATTCGTTACACACACACACACACACACACATCCTGCCTTTTATAGATAGAGATTTTTTGCAATGCTGAGATACAGAGGCTTTGGGCATCATATTTTTTTATCACTGAAAGAAAACTAAAAAGATTTCCTAAAAAAACTGACCTTCCATCACGACTGAAGGACACAGAAAGAACAGCTTCTGTGTGACCCACAAGGGTACTTGTACATCGGGTCACAGCTCGCACTCGAAACACGGCCAAGGGTTGGTACACAATATCCACAACGTGTTCTGTGTCATGAATGTCTTTTTGACTTAATGCTTTCTCAACGGTCTCGGTAATTTCTGAATCCTTTATGAAAAATGCATAAGGTGTGGTCTCTTCCTAGAAAACAAAACCAACAAAAAAAAGTGGTGAAGGATGATAACAACAAGATTTAACAGACAAATGGTAATGATAATATTAGCAGTTTCCTTATAAGGAATCATTCAGTATTAACTGAGTGAGCAGCAAGAGTTGGTTGAAATTTACAAAATGTTTCTCTTAAAACAATTCTTCAGGAAAATAGGTTTCTCAAGTCCAGTAGTTTGAGTTTCAGGTGATATGCATTTCAGCCGTTGCTGATGTTGAAGTCCTCTAGTGATGTGGTTTCTGTTATTTGATGCAGTTCTTTGTTTGTGATTGTGTAGCACCAGTCTATAATGTTTGAAGGATGTTTTACACCAAAACCCATAGGCTTCACTCAGTCAAAACCATTTTTAACCATTGATCTTAGAAAGCAATTGTAAACAGCTGACAGTTTAGATATTTTTCAATGGGTTTGTTGTCATGCATGACATCCATATGAAAAATTCCATTTTTTTTCTCTTGAGATGCATTGCAATTCTTAAGTTGTTCTTGAGACGTATAAAATGTCGACTGATTTTTCTGTAAATTCCCTTCTATTTTGTGCCACAGTTTCCTTTCCTCCAAACTCGCCAGTTTTCAGTTTGAGAAGTCTGACAGAAAATCCTTGGCCTTGAGTTCAAAATCCTTTTTAAACTTCAAGCACTATTCTCAACACATGCTTGCCCCTACTGCACTATCACTGCAAATTTCAGTGATCCCCCCCCCAGATTTTGCATGAACCCTAAACAATGCATATTTGATATTCAGCTATGGTTTTCAGCAAATTAAACTAAAATTATTACTTTTCCCAAAAAAAAATTTATCAAAGAGTATACACATCCAAGAATTTAAGAGATAAGTAAACTTTAAAGATATTGTAAGCTTTCTTTAACATAAAGTAAAAAGAAATTTTGCATCAACCTAATTCTTCATCTCAGAATCTTGGACTTAATTGTATTTAGATATACAGAATGTAATTATATACTACATTGCTATGAATTATGAATCAACCAACCAAGGCCGAAGCAATGTTGAATGGTAGATAACTGTGTTAGGAATTAGTTTATCATCTCCTATATCCAACAGTGTATCGTTTATAGTGATTTCCAGTTTAATTTGGAAAACTTTCAGACAGAAATTGGCTTCCTCAAGTTCCATCATCTTCAGCAATCTTTTAACCAGGAATATCAACCATTAATTTTTGCAGCGCATTATTACAGGTGATGAAAAATGAGTTTTGATGTCAAAAGAAAATGAAAAATACAGTGGTTATCACAAAATGAGAAACCAGTGGTCATATCAAAAGCCGGACACCATCCGCTGAAGTTTTTAATTTGTGTATCTGGTGGAATATGAACTGCGTCATACATTACAAATTAGTGGAACATCACTGGAAACTTTTAATGTTAGTAATGCTGTTGGTTTAATGAAGCAGTAAATTATAAGAGCCTTACTTTGCTAAATAGAAAAAAAAGGGTCCTTCTCCAGCATAACAAAGGACATACTCTTCAAAAGAAATCCAAGAAAAAATAAGGTTGTTAAGATAGGTTTTTCCACATGCTCCATACTCATCAAATTTAGCACTTACAGATTTTCATTTGTTTTGATCATGACAACATTTCATAAGTGGCAGAATGTTCAGAAAAAAAAAAAAAAAGTTGTACATAGGTTTTAAATGGAACAACATCACATACAAGCTCTACAATCGTTTGCCATGTGGCCTTTCAACAAAATACTTAGTTAACATCATTGCTTAGAAAAAAACATAAACTGTTTTTCATATCAAAGTGTGTTGAATGATTCACCTTAAACATTTCTTGCAAATTCCTGTGTTGTCTTTGCCACACAGGCATTCTTCCAGTTAATCTGAAGTCGTGAACTATAGCAAACGCCTGTCTTTATCTATGTACCGTGTATATTATGGGATTGGCATAGAAACTGTTCTACATTTTTCTATTGTAGAAGCAAACAATTGATTCAAACAGACACTATTCGCAAATAGAAAAAATGAAGGTAGCAATCAAAATGAAAATAAAAACATGTCCTGAGTTCAATCAGTTATGTGTTATGCGTGATACACGTTAAGGCGATCATGTATCTTTTGATACTAGAAAGATGTTTTTTCCCCGCAGTAGGTTGCCATTTCTTTCTACGGTAGACCAGTTGCCATCTAAGACTATAGAAACTAGGTCTACCCTGCTATTTACCCATAGCTAGGGGGAGAAGAAGAGGATTAATACATTTTCCAATGTTATTAGCACATAAGTGAATGTAATAGCTTTGAGTGGAATTCAAACTCGGCTCTCCGATTCCTCAACCCTAGCCGCTATCCATTACTCCACAGTGCCCTGAATTTATTAATTGAAATCTGAAAAGTGACATTCATTTTGGGTTACTGGAACATGGAAGGAACATCACAGATTGATGTTTATGTTTATTGCCATCAACTTCATCGGGCAAACAAAGCATTGTGTCCAAAGTGTCCTACTTTGGTAAAGAGAAAAGGTTTTATTCTCCAACATGATAATGCAAAGACCCACTCTAGAAAACAAACCCAAGAAAAAAATAAGATCCTTAGAACAAGCTCCACAATCGTTTGCCATGTGGCCTCTTCTTCCACATCCTCCACTCTCACCAGATTAGGCACCTCCTGATTTTTTATTTTTTTCAGTCACCAGGACATTCCATAATTGGCACAATGTTCAGAAACAAAGAAGGAATCGAAAACCATCTTTAGAAAAAAAATCCAGATTTTTTAGACGTGAAATCAAAACTTTGTCTTCCTGCTAGGCAGCAGTTGTTGAAAATGAAGGTGATTGCATTTTTCCAAAATAAGTTTTGAATAAATTTAACTTACATTTCATTTTATATTCTTTCTGGTAAAACACATTCTGATCTGAACACCATAATATTTACAGGCTAGGAATTTTAATACGGAAACATTGGTCAAATCATAGCATCTTACCCTATTAATTACACAAAATTGAATCAATTTTTTGCATGAGGAGAAAATTTCCTTCTCCCAACATCTGTCTTTTGAGAATGTACTAATGGATTAATGGCAAGCAGTCTAGAAAAATGGAAATAGCAAGCAGGGTTCAAATTCTGTGACAGTCTGTTCACTTTGCATTATTACATTTCGGAAAGACATGAATCCATCTTTTTTTATCCTGATCTCTGGGTAAAATAGCAAGGATGAATAAACTCTCTAGTCTTGGCTGACATCCAGTCTAAGAGAAAGACAGCTATGAATTCAAAACTGAGAGGTTAAGCATTAGGCTAGCAACTTCACCTAGTAAACACAACTTGCAACTCTGACTGCAACAAAATCAGTACAGTTGTGGAAACTATGCTCTATAAGGCATCTAGAATAAACATCTATCTTTTACTTACCGGTTGCAATATAGCATTGCAGATCAGTTGGAGTTTATCAGTTGTTAGGTCCACAGGTAAATCAAATGGCGTTCCGGCACATTCTCCTGTTTCACTTTTAAACTGTGCCAAAATTCTACTTCCATTTTCATCCCTGAAACATAAAAAAAAGACAAGTTAACATCTACTGTGACTGCAAATAACAAAGTAGAGATACTTGATCCTGAAGATTCCAACCCTGTGACAGAAACTTCCTGACTGCATTAAAAAGGAGTGGTTGTGGGAACTGAGCACTTTTTGTCATTGTTATGGGCACTCCACATTGAGGAAGATGAGCAAATAAATCATTATTTGTGAAAATTTCTCCGATTTAACCATTAGAGAAGACAATATTTATTTGTACAGAGATTGTTTTTGAAGCGTAAATCAAAATCAAAAAAAAATATATAACTTTTGTAATAATTGATTGAATTAATCAAGAATTATTCCCATACTATATAGTGATTTTCAAGACTGAAAGTATGGAACACTGGGTGAGGATAAATGATTTTCTAAGCTTAGCTTAGATGTGACACAAGGCCAAAAATATTGGGCACTAAGTAAGGATCGAACTCGATATTCAGTTGTAATTAATCTTGTGAGACAAGCTTGTTAACCATTACACCACATCGACTACAAATTATCTTCTAAGTATAGCTTAGATGTAGCACAAGGCCAAAAGTGTGGAGCACAATGAGGACTGAACTCACTACTAGGTTGTAATTGATCTAGCAAGACAAGCTTGTTAAACATTACACCACATCAAAATGTCCATATTCCCATGAATGTTATCTATCTATAAAAGGCAGGATGTGTTTGTGTGTGTGTGTGTGTGTGTGTGTGTATAACGAATGCACAACCGCAGTTTTCGACGGATTTGCACCAAAATTTACATGCACATACTCCAAGTTAGCGGGAAGGTCAAAGACTGACTTGGTATTTCCCAACTCCCATCAATAGTGGAAATAATCGATATTTTCATGCTTCTACATCAGTTTTCATGTAGTTTGCGGCAATTTTCTACTGGCCAGAGTGAGAGCCTATAGCTGGCTGCTATGAATAGGCAGGAAGATTCTATTGGTGAGCGTGAGAGCCAACAGCTGACTGCCATGAATGTTAACTAGCATGCTAGCATGCAAAAAAAATTGATTGCTGTATTCGTCACAAGTGGGAAAAATTTAAATCTGCATGGCACTTTACTCCAATTGGCTCATTCACTTGCTTAAACTCAATGTTGATTCTGATTCTGCAGAACTGGATTGGGTGTGAAAAAGTATTTGTTGTTAAAATTTTTCATTTGGTTTTTCCAGTTACGAGTCTTTTTTTAAAGCTGTTCATTTTGTTTAATTCTTTTTTCGTAACAGATTTAATGTTTAGTATAGAGCTTAGAAAAAATTCACAGTGTGAGATAGGCAAAAAGTAAGGCATGTAGCAACATCAGCACAGCAAAGTGCACTCCTTTAAAGGCAAGGAAGGGCAAAAATATTTTAAGTCAAGTGATAGCGATTGCTGTATGAGTTGTACGATTTTTTTTAATCAAGCACGGGCAATGCTGCTAGTTCATTCATATAGAAGGAGTATAATTCTAATGTATTTAGAGAGAAAATGTCCCCAAATGTGTGTATCGTTTACTGGGAACAATTAGGAAAGCAGTAGGGATTTATCACTCACATTTACACAGTGAATGCAACAAGGAGAGAGGAAAGTAGTGTGTAACCTACGTAATGAGCTTACGTAAATAGTGGGAAGAACAGGAATTAATAGACATAGCAAAAAAAAAACAATTACATACCCACATAGATACCATATTAAAACACACCCAAAGTTTATTTCTTACCCAGTAACAGAAAATATTTACAAACATGCCAAAAAGATTCCACAATACAACACACATAAAATCAAAGGGTCTCTATTGGTTAGAAATTAATATCACCATGTGAAATATTTGACCAATCAGAGAAAACTAAAATTATTTTTCATGAGCCAACTTTTACAAAAACTTTCTTATAAAAAACCCACAGATATGCAACTGTCTCCAAGCCATTCAAACACATGTCTACATAGACAAACATATACTGAAAGAAACATATATTGGCTACTTCAAAGGAATCATCTTCAACAACAGGGGCGGTCAGTGAATCTTGATTGACAATCAAAATCTTTTCTAAACCACATTTTTTTTTTTTTTAACTTTAACTCAACAAAAGACTATTTTTACTCCTTTTTGATTCTTTTGAATTTATGTACATATATACAAATGATTCATCTAACACTTACAGGTGTTATATTCTGTCACAATTAGATCTCATTCTGCACGCTGGCCAGATGTGAATGCCACAAAAGCAGAGAACGAAATAAAAAAAAGTCATTTCCTTCACAACCACTTTATCCATATCTTTAAAACTAGTGACAGGACTCAAATAGAGCGAGTTCAATACCCGGTTAAGGCAGTGGAGAACTTTCAGAGGGAAATTAAAACAAGAGATAACTGATAACTGACATCCATTAAACATGGCACGTGGAACTAGAACAGTCTACCCCAGTGAATGAAATAAAGGGTTCAGTTCGACTGTCCAACCACCTGAAGAAGACCGGAGCGTACAACGGCCGAAACGTTGTAATAAATATGGCGACAAGGATAAGGACAATAGTCCGAATAATGTATATAGTGCCTCATCTCAGAAATATAGAAAGATACCAAAATGCGTCAATTTTTGTCTATTTCCGACTGGCCTCGCGTTTTTCTGCCGACCCTAACTCTCAGAAATGTCCAAACATTCGCGTCGATAAAATTGATGTTACAGTAAATTACACGCTTTTTTTTTTTTTTTTTTTTTTTTTTGTTTAGATTTCATGTGTGTTTAACTTTTGTTGTACATGCTCCTAATTTTACGGTTACATTTTGGAAAATACAAAGGAACATATTTATTTACTGAGGTGACATCTACAATTTGAAGCTATACAGAAGATGCCCCCCTCCACCAACAGGGCAAATACTAATTTTTAAATTTTCTTCCCACCTGAAGTTGAAAAATGTCAAAAATTCATAAGCCTGTCTGACCAATAATAATTAAAAAAAATCAACGTATCGCGTTAAAAGTTAGTACGTACGTACGTTCTGAACTAAAAAAAAAAAAAAACAGAATATAAAAATAATTCCTAAGTAAGATTTAACAACATTCTTGATCATTATATAAATTACTTGACCCGTCTTATTATACAAATAAACACTGTTTCTTACCCCATTTTCTAGAGTAAATTTACCGCACAGAGGTAACGCAGGGATTTAATTTCTTCCCAAACCACGTGTTGTGAATCTCTGTAAACGGTGCAGACTATATCTGTCTCTAGTATATCTTTTCTTGGCGACAATATAAACAAATTGTAACTGAAAAGCAATGTTATGGAGATTAGAATTTATTTTCAATAAAGATGCTTTATATTTAACAAAATCTGCTTTAATAAAGAATATTTTATTTAATGAAGTTAAGAATTACTATTGAAAATACGCATATTTTTTTCAATTTTCGATCAGGGATGTTATGAAAATTAAAATGTCTGGTATTTGATTTAAAAAAAACTTTCAACATGTTTTAGCAGTTACTGATAATATTTTAAAGCCCAGTTAATATTATTAATCTCTAAAAGTGTTTTATCTGAATGAGAAACCCAGTCTAATACCGTACAGAAAATTAAATGGTTACTTTGTTAAGCTTACACCGAATGAACGAACAATTTTGTTTTTCGTAAAGAGAATCTTATATTTGTTTCTGTAAAATTAAAAATAAGTCATAAATAGTTTAATAAATTATTAGTAAAAATTAAATACGGATTATTTTATTTGTTGTGTGAGATAATGATCTAAAGTATTGTAAATATGCGGTTGTGAAAACAGTTGCTATGTTGTTGCCTAACAACGAAGTTCGAAGTTGTTTTGTTTGTTGCTTTGAATGAAGTTTTTATTGAATTCCTGAAGTTCTTTTCCTTTCTTTTTGGTGAGGAAATTAAATGTCTTTAAAAATGTGTGGCTTGGTAAGTAATAAATTATTTTTATACTTGATAAATATGTGTTTAATTTCATAAATTCGTTGTTCTGTGTATTTTTGGTCATTAAGGAACTTGTACGTTATTTACAAAAAAAAAAAAAAAAAATTAAATTAATTAACTTTTGATTTTTGGCCAAAAATAAAAGAAAGTTTTTTTTTAAGTAAAACTGTTCAACGATTTCTGTTTTTTCTTTTTATGTTCAACTTATTTTATTTTTTTATATATGAAAAAAAAAGAAGATATTTTTCAATTTGATCAACAAACTTTTTTTTTTTTTTTTTCGGAATCACAGAATTGAAAAATAAGTGTAAATTAAAATGCCAAACATAAATAAAGTGGTTATGAAAAATATCAATATTGAAAAATTTAATGTTTTAAAATCAACTTTAAAAGTAAAACTGAAATCAGAATTTATATTCACTAGTGACTAGAGTGTCTTCTTTTTAGTGACAACGTTTCGGCCATTGCACTCTCCGGTTTTCGTCAGTTTTCTGTCGTAACGGGAATTGCAGACTAAACCATTTTCAATACACTGGTAGGTGTATTGTTTTGCTGTTGATGCTAATCTTGAAACTTTTTCTTTACGGATTGAATAAAGAGTTTAGTTTAAGATTCCCATAGGTTGAAGTGCACAGGTGTATTAAGGAATAGGGAATCATTTCATGTATTCGTATGTCAGACATCATTTTCTTGAGCGGCATGGATATATTTCAAATTTTTAATAATTGATTGAAATCTTACTAAATTAAATCTCAAGTAAGCAATTCAATATCTCACAACAGACATTTGTTTAGTTTAAAAATTTTAAAGTTTTAGCATCTGTGACTGCAAAGAAGGTTTCTGATTAGTCTTTTTCCATGGCTCATAATAACACTTAAGGAGAACAAACTGTGAGATTGGAAATTGAAAATACTTTCTACTGTCAAAAACAACAACAGGTTTATTATATAGTAAAAGTATATATACAAAGATGAGTTTTGAATGAACTCAGAACTTGTAGAATATTTGAATAAGACAAAAGTTTTAAATATTGTTCTTTTCCTTACAGTTTTGAAGAACTGAATCAGATGATGAAAGAGTCGATGTTTTAATGTGTGTTCAATTAATAGAATGTCCGCTTCTGATTTGACTATTAATTTAAAGTGTACCTGGATAAGTAAAGATCTTTTTGTCGTAATAGTACTATGTTGGAAATACCCTTCTTGGCACATGCCGTATAATCTGTGGAATGAGAAATTTATGTTTAGGTTTTCATGAAGTATGATTTTATGAAGTATTTTAACTTAGTGACAAGATAGAATGTATACGAGAAAAAAATAAGCGACAAGAAAGATTTTATGAAATATTTTAAGCAACAAGAAAGAATATATATAAGAAAAAAAATAAGGGACAAGAAGGATTTTATGAAAGATTTTTAAGTGATATAAGAAATTTAAGCTGCTTGAGCATGTATTGCCTGCTTTTCTGAGAAAAAGCAGATGCTGCATTGGGCTCCTGCTTAATTTTTGAATTTCGAAAATATTTTTGGTACATTTCGATTTGTGGTAAAACAGCTGCGTTTGTTTTTCATCCAAATTCCAAGAAGTGAATTTGGAGCCTACCTGTAGATTATAAGAAGGGGCCTTGCATTTAATTGAAGTAGTCGATGAATGTCTACTGCTGGAACCCAGGTCACTCCAGTCCAGAAAGAAAAACTATACAAAAGAAATCTGACAACTGCCAAATGAGAAGGAACATCAAAGTCACTCCCACATCAAGGAAAAGTCTTTAACTGGTGTGATTGTTCTATTCTTCACTGTTGCCATGAACTTTGCTTTGAAAATTGTACCAATTCTTTGAGAAGTATTTTCTCCTTTTTTACATTTAATATGTAGTTTTCTTTTCTGAAGACTTTATGCAGCAGTATAATTTTTATTGTAAAAGTGCATATTCCATTTACATTGATTAATTTTACATACATGTTATTGGCCATCATTTGGCACACAATGCGCTTAATTTGTGTAATTCATTCATTATTTTGTGTTAACAATAAATTTATCATTTGTTCTTAAATTCGGCTTGTGCCGTCTGCCTTTGTTGTGTGCCCATATAAATTAAAATGTTATCTCAAAGATTTGTTTGAGCAATTTTTTTTTTGCAGAGTTTTTTTGCCAAATAAAAAATTCTTTTAGTAAGAAGGATGATGCTATGAAATAACCTTAAGCGAAAAGAATTTAGGAATTTTTAGGAAAAAGTTTAAGCGAAAAGATATAATTGATTAAAAAGAACTGAGTGGAATAATGAATGAGTAAATGTTTTAATATATATTCAATTAACTGAATATTTGCTTCTATTAATTTAAAGTGTCTCTAGATGAATAAAGTTCTTTTTGTAGTAATGGTGTTGTGTGTTGAAAATACACTTAGCACATACTGTAATCTTCTGCAGAATTTTATGATGAAGTAGATTCTTATCAATTCACAGCCAAACTGTTATTTTTGTTATTCATTTATCCTCCAAAAGAGACCTCCAGCAGACGTTTTCTGAAACTGTGTGTTCTCATTGGTTTAAAAATGTGATATGCATTTTTCTGATTGGCTGGAATATTTTGAATTTTGTTTGAATGTATATTTTCACAGGAAACATTGCCCAGCTTCTGCAATCAAATTTTTGAGTATTGAAAGGTAATTTTTCATGACTATTTCCCTTTCCGATTGTTACAAGGGTTTTAAATATGACAGACATATGAAGAATTCTGGAGGGTGTAATATTGGAAATGTTGCGATTATAATAATCAAGATGAGGACGTGAGTTCTGTTGAATGTATTACAATTTTAAAATAATTGTTTTTTATTCTTTTAGTTAAAAAAATCTTGAATGGCTTTGACATATTTAGACTTAAAAAAGAAATACACTGTAAATAAAATATTCAGCATGATATATTATGGATTCCTACTCATCACATAAATAGATTTTATATGTATATTAAAAATTCTAGTTTTTTAGTTTACTCATACAGCAGATATTAAAAAAAAATGAATTGAATTATTGTATCTGCAAGCAGTGTGTAAAATTAGATCTTATCAAAGTAGAATCATGTGACAAAATGGTGGTTTATTAAAGATCATAAAAATAATACACTTTTCCAGTTTTTATCCTTTTCTATCTATATTAATTTTTTTTTTTTTGTATTTTCTTTTAAAGAAGTCTTAAACCATGTGTAAGGAATTTGAAGGGTCTGGAATATTAAGGTATGTATAAACTAAGGCTTTCATTTGCCACATGAATAAACTATTGTGACAAACTTCTCTTTATATCTGTCTACACAAGAGTGACATAGTTATAAACTGAATTTGGAACTGAGATTTTCACTGTATATATGTGATAATGGAGAAACATTGGGTTAAGCAAGAGAAGAATGTTTAAAAATACTTAGATAAAATAAATTTTTTTTTCATCATCAGGCACTTGGCTGACAGACACATACACACACACATGCATATATATATATATATATATATATATATATATATATACTAGCAGTAGAGCCCAGCATTGCCCGGGGATGTAACATTAAGAGATAGATCAAGTATTGACAAAGATTGTTTAAGGTTGACGGACACACATGTCTTAATTATTTTTACGAATTGGTCAAACCCAAACTCAAATAAAAACATTGTTTTCAATCATTATGAGTCTACCGATTGAATAGAATTTTTCAATTTTATTATAAACAATTGTCTTGTAAATGGAATTTTTAAAACATTCTGAATGTAAAAATAAAGAAAAAAGTGTGCAAGACAATAAGAAACACTACCTACCAAAAAAAAAAAGTGAAGTTTTGTTGAAATCTGTTGAAACATGTAGGAAATCCGATCCCATATATAAACTAATAGACACACACACACAAACAACCTGGGTTTTATAAGTATAACTCTATATGAGTTGTCCCCCTTTCATTCTCGAAACAGCGATGCATCTTAATTGTGTTTTCAAATTGATTTATGCAAAAACAATTGTGTTTTTCCAATTTTTGGCACTGTCAGAACCACCGCAAGGTAATTTTATGTAGTCCTGTGAAGTTTTGTTGAAATTGGTTGAAAAATGTAGGAAATCCGATCCAATATATAAACGTACACACACACACACACACAACCTGGGTTTTATAATAAGTATGATATATGCGCAAATATGCAGAAAAATAGGAAGGGTAAATAATCCTGAGTTCCTTAGTATTTTTGTTTTTATTTTTAAGAAGACAGTGCTCCATACAGAAGTAGAGCTTATATTATAATATTTTTTTAAAAATATGATTCCTTTGCTACATAAGAGTCCTCATGTTTCAAAAACGAGAGCCGAAACCGTCAATATAAATATTAAAATTAAGTTGAATTAAGGTGTTGGGTCCCGTTTCATCCTCAAGCGAAAATTTAGGAATAAGCTATCTTGTGGTTTGCGCGTGTTTATAAGTATGGTCCATTGCAACATTAATTACTATGGAAATTACTGGGCCGGCCATCTTGGTTAGAGCTTATTCTGAAATTTACGTGTCAAAAGAAATCATTGTTATCTCCAAAAAATTGTTAATGCAATATTCACTAACAATCAAAGTAGTATTCCTGCAATTCAAAATATGTGTTAGCTTTAAATAATCCACAAAGGGTTGATAAATTTTTAAAAAAACAAGTCAATCAATCATGATTAAAGCTAAAAATATTTCTCCTGGCTATTTTTCCATCATGCATGGATTTTAACTGCATGAAATTGTTTGACCTCCACTGAGAAATTTTTTTTTTTTTCTACATATTTCACCCCCAGGCAAAGTGGGAGTGCCACTAATAACACAGATTGTTCTGGAAAGCCATCATAAGAATTTTTGAATTTCCAAACTATTCATGCATTGAATATTGCTGTCACATTTGGTCTGGTGCTTTTGTTATGCATTTAGAAATTCTTGATAGAATACAAAAAAGAATCTGCAATGTTTTTGGTCCTGATCTGGCATCTTGGCTTTAGACACTTTCTCACTGCCATAATGTAGCTTCCCTGTGCTTTTTCTATAATATTTTCATGGTAATTATTCTGATGAGCTTTCCTTGTATGTACCTTGAATTAATGAGTTTAAGCATACTACTAAATTAGTGGCAAGATTTCATCATCTTACAGTTGAAATGGCTAGATGTAACCATAATTTCTATGCTAACAGTTTCTTCTCTTGCACTTCCCATTTGTGGAACTCTCCTCTGGCTTCTTGCTTTCCAGTCAAGTTCTCAAAATTCAAATGCAGTGTCAATCATTATTTTCTGCCGTCTTAATTCCTGTTCTTTTATTGTTCTCTCTCCTTAATGACGTTTTCTTTTTCTCATATTCTTTCACATTCAGTAACTCATTGCATCTTAGTGTCTTTATTGCTTTGCTTGAGATGAAATGATTAAAAAAGAAAAATTCAATGATTATTTTTGGAGACAAGCAAAACAAGAGGAGAGCAGTAAAAACATAATCTGTTTGGTAAAGATAATTACCCTACCTTCGAAAAGAGAGTTTAAGCCAGTACCAGTCTGGACTTGTTATCTGCAAAGGCTTAAGTTGAGATTTGGACATGATTCTCATTCAGGATCTCATAGTAATCTCATCCAGAGACCTGAGCAAAAAAATGTATTTCAAGTGAACTATGTTATAAAAATGCTGAGAATACCATGGACACAACATATGAGCAATGAAGACGCTTTACGTAAAATGAAAATAAAAAGGACACTTACAATCATAAGGAGATACTTCCAATTTCTGTGTCACATAATGATGAAAGAGAGCTTGGAGAATTTGGCACTCACATGACATATTGAAGGCAAGATGGGCAAAGGAGTTACCTACAGTGAGCTTGTGTAAATGGATGACAAAATAGGGACTACGATGATTAGTAAGGGAACAAACATTGCTTAGAACTGCAAAGAATAGGAAATTGTGGAGAGCTGTGATCACCTACGTCTTGAAGGGCCACAGCCCATAAAATAAAAAAGTTCTCAAAATATTAAATACAAGAAATGGCGTTGTAAAACACTTTGTAGTTGTTTGGATTTATTTCCAGATCATTATCGTATTTTACAAATGCATTTTTTGCATTTTCTAACCATCATCAGTTGACATGCTTTAAACTTTAAGTGGTTAGTAACAACTTTCACTCGGCTCTCCGATTCCTTAATCAAAAAGCCGAGTTCAAATTCCACTTGTATCCATCACATTCACTTACATGCTAATACCCTTGGGAAAGGTATGAATCCTCTTCTTCTCCCCCCAGCTATGGGTAAATGGCAGGACAAGCCAGGTTCTATAGGCTTGGATGGCAACCAGTCTACCACAGAAAGAAATGGCAACCTACTGTGGGAAAAAATCTGCCTCGTCAGTCATGTATCGGAAGATGCAGGATTGCGTAAGTGTATATCACACATGGTGCATAACTGACTGACTGTAAAATATTCAGCATTTTTTTTGTTTAATTTATTTATTTTATGTTTGAGATATTTCTCCTCTTCCCAACTTTTATTAATTTTTTTTTTTGCAATATTTTATTTGTTAATTGTTCAGCATTATATAGATGATGGTATCATTTGGTTCATAATCTTAAATAGTTTTTACTTTCTTAGACAATCATCTTAGGAATGCTGGAAAAATAACAAGTCAAAATATTTTGAAGAGAAATGAGAGAGCCAAATGCTAACGATCATCATCAGCATTATGTTGCTGTTGTTAATAACTAAATATTTAAAATATTTAATTATTTTATATATCATCATCATCAGAGCTGTTTGACTGGAAACCAGAGTGATTTCTCATCTTCAGCTCGTTTCCAGGCACGCCTGCCTGCTCAGGTGCATTTATGTTTTCTTCAACACCCACTGAGCCAACCTGTGCATTATACTACAATTATGCTGAATAGATTTTTGTTACAGTTTAAGCACATGCCTCACCAGGGTCTAAATACAATTTTAAATTCAGAGTTGCCCTTCTCCTATACTAGTTGCTAACTCTAAAATAATTGGCCATGGTTAAGCATGATTGACAAATCTAAAGCAAAGCAACTATAATATTAATAAGCAAAAAAAAAATGTTCACAAAATCGGAATAATATGCTCACACAAAAGGAGTGTGGTTATAATGTTTTGACTTTATTTTCAAGAAACAACAAAAATGTGAGAATTTTCCTTTCCTTTCCTTTTTTTTTTCTTTTGTTAAGAAGAAATCCCAGGATTTGTCTATAAATTTGGGGAGGGGTAGGATTTTAGCAGTCATTCCAGTGAGAATGTAACAAACACCAACCATAGCTATTTAACTCATAGTTGGTGGGCAGAAGAAATGGATTTGTACCTTTCCCAAGAATATTCGTACAAAAGTGAATGCAATGATCATGATCAGAATTTAAACTGATTTCTGATTCCAAGCATCTAATCAGTGCATTTGAGAATAATAACCTGTTGTGTCGGAAACCTACCACCCCTCTTGAAGATGAACTTGTCTGCGTCTGTGAACAAAGACTTTAAATAGTGGCATGTCAGTTGACATGGGGGGAAGACAGATAGACAGAGAAGTTCTTAGCTGAGCTAGTTATTGACTACTCAGGCAATTTCTGTACCTTTTTACCAACCTATTAAAACCCTTTTTATTGTTATGTGTTATTTGGTGTTTGTCTCTACTAACCCCCAAAAAACATCATAACAAACCTTCTAAAATAATTGAATATCGGTGTGTAGCCAAGTGGTTAGGATATTAGCATTCCAAGCATGAAATCCAAGTTCAAAACACACAATAGTTGATTCAACAAGATGACTTTTAGATAATATCAGTCTGAAAAAACAGTTCCAGCATGCATCACAACTGGGAAGTGCTTGAAAAGCCATATCACAATTTGATTCAAGCCTTGCAGGTGAAATTGTTTGGATTCTTTTGATGGTTGTGCTAGCATGATGTGACAAGTTATCATGACAGAGTGTTTGTGCATAATGACCTTGTTCACCTAGTGATTAAACCAGATTGGGCACCAGGAGTTATAACTAAGGTTCAATCCTCAGCATGGTTGTAATATAAATCAGAGGCTGGCTCTCTGGGAGTTGAAAGACACAAAATGTGACTGGGTAGGCATCTGCAACAGAGTTTAACTTGCCACTCTAGCAGATGAGTATACTTGGATTGATTGATTTGTTTTTTACAGCTTATCAACCCTTTGTGGGTTATTTAAAGCCGGTAAATATTTTGGATTGTAAAAATAATTTTTTTTTTGTTCTGTGAGTGAATATTGCATTAATAATGGTTTTTCCACATGCAAGTCATAACTGGTGGCGGGAAGAGAAGTGATAGATTCCTACCTTTCCCAAAAGGATTTACTCATAATTGTATGTAAGGAACTCAACTCGAATTCGAACTTGTCTCTTCGATTTCTTATTCTGAACCAATATTCATTACACCAGAGGATACTCAGAAGACTAGCCATCAAAATAATTAAATGATGCCAATAAATTATTTCAGACAAAAATTGTCAATAATTTTTAACTCATCACCATTGAGGAATGGTTATGAAAAACCTGAAGAAAAAACGTTTATATGAAATAAAGTAGTCACAGCATTACCTCAAGACATTATTGAAATTTGAATCTTGTAATGATGTTTTCTTGACTTGTAAAAACCCAACCCTCCCTTTGAAACAGCCTATGAGAGCCTTGATTTCACATTTTATTTATTTTTTAACAGTTGTGAAGATAGAAAATGGAGAACTACCACATTTTAGGGTGCATTGGAGAAGGGTCATATGGAAAAGTGTACAGAGGTCAGCGCAAATATTCAGCCAATGTGAGTTCAGAGTTTGTCTTTTTTTTTTTACTTTGTTCATTCTGAAACAAATTAGGGAATTCTTTGTGAAGTTGCTGAGCTGAAAGGCACTTGTGGTGTAATGGTTAGCAAGCTCATCTCATTAGATCAATTATGACTGAGTAGTGAGTTTGATCCTCACTGGGTGCACCATACTTTTGGCCTTGTGCCACATTTAAGCTACGTTTAGTAAATTGCTTATAAATGAATTCCATCTTCGTTTATCAACTTTATTTCTCAAAAAGTAAGGCAAAATTACATTTTATTCAATTCTCTATTCACCCTCATTTGCAATGACTTGTCACTTATCAGGCAGCTCTTCAGTATCTTTTCAATAAAGTCCACAGATGTTAATATGAAAAAGTTTTTGACAAACTCTTGAAATGTGAACTTAGGGTGAAGACTGTTTTTATAAATATGACTGCAGGATAAATACTTTTATTATGTAATAGTAATGAGTGATTAAAATGTGATAAAAATCTACTAAGTGAACTTTTTAAGACTTATGTGACTTTTTTTCTTTTTTTTTTTTCAGAGATTATATTGTTCCATTTAAATTAGGGACCTCCACAAAAAACATCATACCTAAGGTTTAAAATGAATTTTGAAAAATCTTTCTTGAAGCTTTTATTTTAGTTTTAATTTCAAGCTAATATATTAAATTTAATATTTCCAAGAAGCAAAATACTTTACTGTATTTTAAAAACTAATTTAAATTGACTCGAAGGAGTTTTTTTTTTTTTTACTAAAATAGCTGATTAGTGCCCTTTTTTTTAGTTGTCTTTCATCACAATGTAATTCTCTTTTATTAAAAAATCTTTGAAAAATAAAATATACTTTTCTGAAACTTTATTTGAGGAATATTTGCTGATTTAAAGTATAATTCATCTGATTTGAAGCAAATATTATTTACTTTAAGCTTAAAATATTTCAGAAATACATTTTTTTTTACCCAATAGCAGCTGTGTTTTTAACCCAACAGTAGCTGTTTTGATGTGTTGACAGGTCTAATGTTATTCTACGAAGACTATATCTGTAAAACATTATTGAAGAAAATGATGTGAGCACTGTTTTTATATAATTTTTAAGTACTCAGTAATCTTAAAAATTTAGAAAAATATTCTCCATAAACAATTCTTTTTAATGAATTTTAGAAATATTGGCTTTAAATTTACTATAGTTATTGCTCTTATTTTCTGATAATGTTGTGTATGGTTGCTTTTCAAAAATTGGCATATTTATACATATACAGAAAAATTCATAATGTTTTTAAACATATTGGTGTTTGATGATTTGTATTAATCTTTTCCATTTATCATTAGAAAATATCATTTTCACTTGATAATAATATCATCTAAAAGGCAGAAATTAGTACAGAATTGTAAAAGATTTAAAACTTTATAAATTTTTCTAATTAAAATTTATAAAATAAAAACAGTTCTAGTAAAAATTCATTATTCATCGGAAAATTTTTTTCTTAAGACAATAGTATCTGTAATGCATCTAATTTATAAAAGCAATTAAAAGATTTTCTAATTAAATGATGTCATAGTTTTATTGCATTTTTTATGATTGTAAGCATATTTTCAGTAAAAGGTGTTTCTGTTTGACAAAAGCAAATTGATGATTTAAATTCTCCAAGGAGTCCTACTTTTAACTAATATAAATATGAAGAGGGTGAAATTTTAATTTCTTGAAATTTCATGAAAAAAAAAAAATTTTAGCAAGATTTTCTAAAAAAAAATTTTTCAAAATAATTTAATTTATTTGTGAATAAGACCTGAAAATTTCATTAAAATCTGACAATTATTTGATTTTTGCAAGAATTTCCAAATCAGTGTGTTTTTAATACTAAAAAGACTAAAATACTAATCTTTAATCGACCCACTGTTGCAAGAAAAACAAGATTTTTAACCAAAATTTTGAATGTGCTAGAGAGGATTAAAAAATTTAATAAAATAATAATAAAAAAAAAAATTTGGTCTTTCTTCTTAATAACATAAACATGTTGACAATAAAACTTTGTTTTCATCATGGTATACTCTTTAGAAAATTTTTGGAGATACCTAATTGAAATTGATATCTGAGTTGGGATTCTTCTGGTGTTTTGAAGGAATGAAGCAGGAATTTCTTACCCTCTAAGAATTTGATTTTCTTTTATCTTTCTGGTAGGCTAAATTCCAACATTTTTCCTTGTGATTTTGTTTGTAAAATGAAGATCTGCACTTCTGACATGGTTTATTTTGACAATACTCTGATGGCATTACTTTGTGAATTATTCAGTATTCTCATTTTTGGTATTTTGATAAGCCTGTGCAATCTGAGATGCTTGATTCTTCTGGGAATGTTCAATTTTTTTGTTTTTAAACAAATTATGTAATGTTGGGAGGTAATTAGGAATCTTATAATGAGAAGTAAGGTGAATTAAAGCTGTATATATACAGGCCAAGAATGATACAAAACAGTTCACCTTGTGAATTCATGCTGTTAACATCCTGAAGACTATTGAAAATTACCTTCTTGGTGGACTATTTGTGATTACCTTTAATACCATGGTTGACATATTTTGTAGTTATTGCTTTGTTTTGACGTATGATTTTGCTAAATTACTTTGCTTCCATTTGTGTTAAATAATAACTGTCATTTCCTTTAACAATCTTCAGCCTTCATCAGGTGTTTGATTCAACCAGTAATCCTTAAAAAAAATTATTTTATTAGGTAATTTTATTTAAAGTTTTTACTCAAAAGTAGTTTGAATAATTCATAGAATAAAGGCAATACTTACTGTCAGAAGTTCTGAGAACTGTTTGTATCTGCTGAAAGTATTTTTTTATTTAATTTGATTTCAAATTCTTGTTTAATTATTTTCCAAAACATTCTATTACATTTGTGTACAGACTCTTACAATTTTCTCAGTATTGTAACATAAACCCTATCAATTAGTCAGTCAGTCTATGTTGTCAAGATCGTGGTGATAGTATAAATTTGTCATGTAAGAAAATTTTTCACTAAAATATGTTTTCTCTCTTTGCAACTAGGTGGTTGCTCTTAAGTTCATTCCTAAAATTGGGAAATCTGAACGAGAACTGCGTGGTCTTCGGCAGGAGATTGAAATTATGCGTAACCTCCAACATGAGAACATTGTGCAAATGTTGGACAGTTTTGAAACAGAAGAAGAAGTAAGTGAAAATTTTTCTTTTTAAAATTTATTCTGCTTTGTTGCAATTTTTTTTTTTTTTTTTTTTTTTTTTTAAAAAAAAAAAATTTCAAAAAAATTTAATTGATGCAATGAGATGAAAAATACTTTGGGTATCAATCAATGACTCTTGGATTGATCTCTTTGGGAATGAATGGCCTTTTGTACTAGCTTATCTCTCTCTCCTTTCTACTTTTTGGGTTTTATAAACGTTTATATAATAACAAAGAAATGTGGTTTAACCAACCTTGAAGTGTTATAGAGAAATTCTCGTTGTCTTTCATCAAATTTTGAAAATAATTAGATTCTTCTATCTTTTGATATATTGCTATTCTCTGCATGTCAAAAGCCAACTGATAGATGCTCTTTCTTGCCCAAATGTCAACAAGAAATGTGATGATTAATCATTTCTTATTTATTGATTTTCAGCTGGTGGTTGTGATGGACTATGCTGATGGAGAACTTTACCAAATCCTTGAAGATGATGGCACTTTGCCAGAAGATCAAGTGAGCCTCTTGTATTACTTATGTTTATTATATACAAGCAGCATGCCCCGGCGTTGCCCGTGCTTGATTCAAAAATTGTACGATTCATACAGCAATCGCTATCACTTGACTTAAAATATTTTTGCCCTTCCTTGCCTTTAAAGGAGTGCTCTTTGCTGTGCTGATGTTGCTACATGCCTTACTTCTTGCCTATCTCACACTGCAAATTTTTTCTAAGCTCTATACTAAACATTAAATCTGTTACGAAAGAAGAACTAAACAAAATGAACACAAAACGATCAGCTTTAAAAAAGGACTCGTAACTGGAAAAACCGAATGAAAAAAGAATGTTAACAACAAATACTTTTTCACAACCAACCCAGTTCTGCAGAATCAGAATCAACGTTGAGTTTAAGCAAGCGAATGAGCCAATTGGAGTAAAGTGCCATGCAGATTTAAATTTTTCCACTTGTGACGAATGCAGTTATCGTTTTTTTTTTGCATGCTAGCATGCTAGTTAACATTCGTGTCAGTGAGCTGTTGGATTTTGCTATGGCCAATAGAATCTTCCTGCCTATTCATGGCAGCCAGCTATTGGCTATTACTCTGGCCAGTAGAAAATTGCCGCAAACTACATGAAAACTGTCGTAGAAGCATGAAAAAATCGATTATTTCCACTATCGATGGGAGTTGGGAAATGCAAAGTCAGTCTTGGCCTTCCCGCTAACTTGGAGCATGTGCATGTAAATTTTGGTGCAAATCTGTCGAAAATTGCGGCCGTGCATTCATTACACACACACACACACACACACACACACACACACACACATACTACCTTTTATAGATAGGGATAAGGAATGATAATTTTGAAAATGGCCATCTGAAAGTAAAATTGCTTACCTAGACACCTTCAGAGTTCTCGCCTTCTGACTAATTTTTTTTTTATGACTTATCAACCCTTTTTGGGTTATTTAAAACTAAAAAATATTTTGGAATGTCAGTATAATTCTTTTTTTGTAAGTGAATATTGCATTAACAATTTTTTGAGAATAACAGTGATTTTTTTTCCTGATACAAGTCCTACCATTTAGCCCATAACTACGTGTAGTAGAGGGATTCATATCTTTCCCAAGAGTATTTGTGCATTATTGAATGTAACAAACATGACTAGAATTTGAACTCAACTCTCTAATTTCTCATTCAAAGACTCTGTCTATTAGATCACCTACACATCCTTACTTCTCTTGTGAAGATATGCACTTTTTTAGAACTTGGTGTCATTGCTGGGAACAATTTGTTTTTCAGAATGTCTTTTAGTAATGTATTCACGTGTTGCTGGATGTCAAGGATGTCAGAAAATGTTTGCCTTTTCAAATCATTTATCAATTTTGGAAATAGTCAAAAGTTACATGAGGTTAAAAGATGGATGGACTCTTTTCTGTAATGGAGTGTTTTGCCAAGAATTTTCGAAACCTTAATGCATCATTTTTTTAAATTTTTTTCCTAAATCTGTTAGAATCAGCTGCACTGTCTCCCTATTCATATTCAGTTCTGCTATCAGTCCCACACTTAATCGTTGATCTGAGTGCACCAAGGTTCACACTCTGTCCGCATCTGCATCTCTTTGTGTTTTGGGCTGCTCACTCCTTGTGTTCTCATGTACACCTTCTTGCCTGCTCTGTGTCACTCAAAAGCACCTGATTTCTTTAAATACTTGATTAATTTAATTAATCAAGTATCATCAACATATGAGCAACAGCAAAGTTTTAGAGAAAATGGAAATGAAAGGAGACTAAAACTAAGAATCAAAAAGAGACAGATGAAATTTCTAGGGCACATAATGAGGAAAGAGGGCTTGGAAAATTTGACACTTACAGGACATTGAAGGGGGGACATAGAAAAAAAATGCATAACCTACCTAACAAGATTATGTAAATGATTGGTTGAACAGGGATTAGGAGATATAATAAAAACACCAAATTTACTAAAGGCTACAAAGGGCAGGAATTTGTGGAGAGCTATAACTGCCTGTATCCTGAAGGGGCACAATATATAGAAGAAGAATATTTCACTAGCACTTTTACAATTCTTCACAATATTTCACTAGTATTTGAATGTCTTATGTATTTCATCTGTGCTGCATCACAAGAAAGCAGAAACTTGATTACATACTGCAATCATTCTTATTGATAAACAACAGAAATATTGATTGATTGTATTTGAATGCCTTATGTATTGGGCAATCAAAATTATCTAATATTGATTGGGGGGCTTAATTGGGCAAACATCTCTATGATCACTGCACACACACACACACACATATATATATATATATATACATACATATATATATATATATATATATATATATATATATATATATATATATATATATATATATATATACATACATACATACATACATATATATATATATATATATATATATATATATATATATATATATATATACATATACATACATACATATATATATATATATATATATATATATATACATACATACATACATATATATATATATATATATATATATATATATATATATATATATATATATATATATATATATACAAAATTACCTCAACATAGAAGATAGTCTATTTCAAGACGTCTGTATGTGGCTGTCAATCGCCCCCTAAGTGTCTGTCTCGGAGCATTGTTTTAAATTTATTTTCAGTGTCAGTCCTTCTCTGGTAGACACCTTGTTAATTAGAATGGGTTTGTGTTAGCGATTGGTGGGGGTGTAAGGTATCTTATCCCAGGGGAAGCGGTCTGCAGTTGGAGTTTATTCATGGCCAGGACCTTTCATTTTTTTGTAGTTTAATATCAGTTCCTACTATGTGGCATTTCTTATAAAAGCCCCAAGTGTGTTTTTCTGGGATTCACAGTAAATAGTTTTTGTACTACAGGCGCCCAATATTATTAAGAGATGGGGGATTTAAACTTAAGCCCATTAAGATCAATGTAAATTAGTTGATTTATAGATTTATAGATTATGGGTAATACCAGTGATGTCAATGCTATGTCAATGGAATAAATTATGCTGTCCAGTACACTTATATGCATATATATCTTCATACATATATATGTACATTTTCATGTCCATATATATATGCCACTATATGTACACATACAAACCCACATATATGCACATGTATTCTTATGTAATTTGGAATTTATTTCTATATCTATAGATATATATACAAATAGAGAAATATATATATATCTATATCTATATATATATATATATATATATATATATATATATATATATATACATTAAGAAATGGACAAAGTCTGACAATTTATTAAAGACATTTTATGTTTAACATTCTTTTTTATAGATACAAGTATTTAAGTAAATGCTCTGTTTATAATAAACAGTATTAAATAACATTTACTGGCCTGAATGTCCGAGAAATTTTCATAGAAAATATTTGAACTTTGACAGGATTCGTATAGGATGCAGGTTCAAATCCTGTCAAAGGACGGATATTTTCTATGAAAATTTCTCGGACATTCAGACCGTAAATGTTATTTAATACTGTTTATTATAAACAGAGCATTTACTTAAATACTTGTATCTATAAAAAGAATGTTAAACATAAAAATGTCTTTAATATATATATATATATATATATACATATAAATATACATAACTAGACTCGTTTCGAAAAACCCTTGAATTTTTGATTTGCTAATCAAATCAATCTCGAGGGAAAAAAAGGTTTTAAAAAAAGAAAGAGCTACAAACATGAACTTCTGCCGACAAAAAAATCGCACAGATGCAGGTCTGAAGCCCAAAGAAAAAACCCGATACGAGTAACAACTAACTAACAAAAGAGCTCAATACAACCGTAGAGCAGACCTAGATACACCTAGTGAGCCAGACAAACCTACCTAGGTTTCACCTAAACGGATCGTCAGGGAAAGTTTGGCTAACGAGGCAAAGAGAAACACATATTTATAGGTGATAGCTAAAATCATACCACGTGACAAAAACAAAAAACAAACAAAAACAACCTAAGTGGGGGGATAAATATTTATTCAACAAAAAAAAAAATCCTCAGTGGAAAGTCAATAACGGAAAACGTCTAATTTAGTAGCCAAGATTTTTTATGTCTACATACATTGAGAATTTCAGTTTTAGAGTTTAATAGCTGGTTAGGTTGATCATATAAAGCTATGGCTAATTTCTCCTCAGCACATAATTTGCAAAATTTATGGCCTGCTTTATATTTTGGGCATTTTTTTAATATTTCCCATTTAAAGATGGGGTCTATATTATCTTCTTGTTTGGTTTTCCATACGTAGGTAGATAGCGTGGTACTATGTTTAATTTTTGCATTCTTGCGTGGTATGATTTTAGCTATCACCTATAAATATGTGTTTCTCTTTGCCTCGTTAGCCAAACTTTCCCTGACGATCCGTTTAGGTGAAACCTAGGTAGGTTTGTCTGGCTCACTAGTTGTATCTATATATATATATATATATATATATATATATATATATATATATATATATATATGTAATAAAATAAAAGAAAGAGTAAGATATATAATCCGGTGTTCTTATAGATATTTTTATTTTTACAAAATAGTGCTCAATGTAAATTTACAGAGCATTAATATTAAATTAAACGTATTCTAACTTAAACACCCCCCAAAAATCTTTAAATATACAAATAGGAAAAAAATGCCGTAAGAATTTTTGCCGTTAACAATAAAATTTTTTTAAAAATCCAGACGACATGCATTTAACATGTCAGATTTCATTGAAAAATACATCCCTACCCCTACCAAAACGTAACTAATAACTGATACATCAGAATACAGACATAATGAACACGTAGACACCCCTTGTCTGGTTGAATTGGATTTCTCTGTATCTTTGGAAACGTGAATTATGATTTTTGGTGTGTCTTTAAAAACCCAGTAATTTTAAAAGCTACTCCAAAATTCACTTGAGGATGAAATGGAACTAATGTCTTTAATTTA